CAAAGCGCTGAATTCATTCTTAGAAAAAGGGGTCTAATTTTATATTCGGAGTAGATTATTATTCTCTCGTGATGCACACAACGATGTATGAGACCCAATTTTGTCACAATTTGTGGCGTGATGCGTTGCGTCACTAACGTAGCCACAAACGCATTGTATCACGAAAAGTTCTTTGTTTATATCCTTTGATAACATTTGCCGACCGATCCTTCGGCAACTATAATGGTAAATTATCGGAAATGGGCTAATTGTACTTATCACTGATATTAGAAAGATTACCAGGAGAGAGTTCCGAATATTTATGCACAAAGGAGAACTACCAATGCAAGCATGTTGCTATCACTAGTGCTCAGAAAAATGTTGCGTTCTATTCAAAGCCGTTCTAATTATATTTTCAATGCGATAGATATCATGGATTTGTAGCGGGTTCTTAGCTGACAATAACGATTTTATACTTGATTGATTTTTTCAACAAAACATTATTTCAAAACTATACATCTTAGTTCAGTTTGTTATCAGGCAATTTTTCTAGCTGATTTTAGACTTCGACACTCAAGTTGACGATGGGAGATTTATTCTATTATAGGATTGGCGCACATCGACTTTGCCGAAAAACTGCAACAACTAATAAAACGTTCTAACTTTTACAAATAGCTCAGAAGCAGTCTTGTAATCAAGCAGATCTCGTTGATTTGATTGTAATGGTTTCTTACAAAAATTCAAAGTAATCGCAACTTAAGTAAACGATTTTCAATCTCTTATTAACTATCTCAATTTTACGCTGTTTAAAAAAGTTCTGGGTACAGAAAAGTATTCAGTGATTGCTAATGCTTCGGTCTTGAGTGGTATACAAGCTTATATTCGACAGTGCTTAGAAAGAGAAGAGAATGTAGACCCGGCCTATAGACTTGCTTTGCAGAAATATAATCTCACATCTTTTTATAAAAAGACACCTGATGATATAGCTGAAAATTTTGTGGAAAAGTATTTCCAAAAAGAGATGCGAAATGCATATACAGTGACACCTCCATAAGTGCAACCTTCATAAGTGCAATTCCTCTCTAAATGCAACACTTTGTTCGTCCCAAGCATGGGACTTAGTGGGTAAGTGCAACCCTCCATATTCTGCAATTGCAACAGATTTTGCGGTCCCGTTCTAATACATTTATTTCCCTGAGTGCAACTCACGTGAAGAGCTTCAATTGTTTAGCGTAAGCATGTTGCATTCGCGAAAAAGGATAAATTCGATGAAACAAAGTAATATAACACAATTCTTAGTTAACAATTAGGAATATTTTATGTCAAACCTGTTCCGTAGAGTTGGCTGGAAAGTATAATAAAGGAAAATCTGTACATTATCGAAATGTTTTTCCTAATAAGGAAACCCTCCATAAATGCAAAACTGCAACGCAGCACTCGGTTCCGAGGTGTTGCATTTAGGGAGGTGTCACTGTATATAGTAATAGTGCATTAGTTCAAGCTATGAACCCTCTTGATGACTTGCTAATATATGTGTGCTTTTGTTAAGCATGTACAGTGATCAGCCAGGTGTCATGAGCAATGAGAGTGATCATTACACACCTGTTGACTGCATGGGGATTGGACAGAATTCAACCAACTTGTGGACAAGTTTATCAATGTTGTTTACAATAATGAGCTAACCATTCCCACCCAACATGTGTGCTGCTATTTTAATTCTTGCTGGCCATCCCCACTTGTCAGAAAGTCTCTGGAGATTCTGAAAGACCATTTCCAACGTAGTGATTTCACAGCTTACCATCTATATCTAGTCTCCCATGAAGACTTTCTCAGAATTAAGGATTTGCGTGTTTTTGATGCATTGCGGAATTTGGAAATGACGAATGACAATGTTGAAATTTTGAAAAAATGCCTATCATCAGGTCGAACCCGATTCGACGTTTTCTATTGATTCGAACAATACTCAAACATATAATGATGCACAGAGATTCAAACGTTCACAGAGGCAGTGAGTGGGAGTTCGCTACATCACTCATGCGTGTTATCTTGGGTAGCAAGCTATTCACTGCACACATCTCACTTACACGGTCGGGCTGTTGACTTTGATGCATTTTGCTTCTCACTCTTATGCGGATGCGACCATCAACTCTGCGTGAATCCCTGAGCCATAACAGTGGTGTAGCTGCACGCCTGATAGAAAGACGATGGCAAACAACATGGTTAACTGCCGCGACAACAGCAGTGCCTTCAATCAGCCCCGATCTTCCTCAAGCCTACTCCACCACATAGGCATTCTTTTGCAAGGCTTCCACTTACAGCTGCCTGCTGTTTCGCACGCAAATTTACTATATGCCAACATTGTCAAAACAAATATGGAAAGGTGTAAATCAAACAACTGTAAGGAATTGGAACAGTTTAGGGCTGAAGAGTGGAACAACATTCCAAATACTGTCATAATTAATTTACTAGATTCGATGAAGTGTCGATGTGAACTAATCATAGACAATAATGGTAATTACATCTCATATTAAATAATAAATCAATAATTAGCACCGTTTAAGCTTTCAAATCAAGTCTAAATTATATTATTTGGAGCAATATGTGATGAGTTAGAAAAAAATTTGTTTGCCATTTTTTTTGAACACCACCAAAATCCTCCGTTGACACTATGCTCCAGCACAGGAAATCTAACAGATTTCCACGTTTTGTGTTCCTTGAAATAAGAAAGTCGGGGATTCCAAAACCGTTTTTTCAGCTGCCATTTAAAAAAAATTCTACGCGTCGCGAAATGGTTGTCTTATTATTATGTCACGTCCAACGGTGAAATTGTCAAAAAAGATAACAACATTATTGACGAGAGTTTGGTTGCCAATATCAGTCGGAAAATAATTATTATCACCCAAGACGAAATAAGATAATATTCTTAGGGTCATATTTCTGGAAACGCGAAAATCGGAATGTTTACAAGTAATTGTTTCAGTAAAACTATAAATAACGACTTTTTTTAGTCTTTCAGCAGCCGATGATCAGCAGAAATTTTGGTTTCTTAGTTTCCGAAAATGGTTAGTTTGTGAGCATAAACAAATATTATAACAGTCGAGATGTGAATATTACATTAACGAAATAAATACCTCAAGTGGTAGTTATGATGCATGACCTCGTGTCAGGTCACAAAGCTCGTGAGAATTTTCAATTTTCTATTTGCATCAACAATATAAGCTCGTGCTCTCCATCCAGCTTGGCGAAAGGCTCGGAATCGATATCGTCTGTGAGATTTCATTGTTTAAATTGGGTCGGATGGTGTTCGTGTCTTGGAAAAATAACCACGATTTGGGTGAGCATGTTTATTTACTGTCTAGTACGAATTTACATTATTGTCAGGTCACATAATGTTAGACTTGCTTTATTATCATCTCCGATTCTTGCACTATAAAACATAGAGTCGATATCCGAGAATTTTTCTTGGCAAAAGTCATTGGAGCGATAATCAACTTGGGAATACGCCAACCCAATCTCCCATGTTGCTGTTTTGTTCTGACAAGCAGTATCAGGAATTAAGGCTTAAGACGTGTTGTGGTTAATCCCAACAAGTCATAGAAATAGGAAGAATTCGGACTCATCAATTTCACTATTCAAATCACCGAAATGTTTAGCGAGAACTGAGACGAGAATGTCCGGCCCAGTCAGTTAGTTCTTCTCTTCAAGATCAATTAACGTGTTCTTTGCGTGTTTCTGTACCAATCCAGAAAATACAGCGTAAGTATTAAAAACAAAAGATCGTAAAATATTCATCATTATCAAAGTTCAAAGGACGGATCCTTTAATAAAGCTACCACCCACAAAACAAAGAGCGAGCCAATTGAATAGCTTTCTATTTATCCATACATTTAACGAGCGTCGTATTCGCTCATTATAATTATTCAACAACTCTTCAAAAATGGCGAAGGCCTAGAAATAATCTCGGGCGTTAACTCTCACCAACGTGTAGTAATAATATTGCCAGGAGAAGTGAGTTTGACACATCCGCGCCTTGGATCGATATATGGGTGCTTTGGTGCATTTGAAATCCTTTTTTTGTGTGAACAATACACTATGAGAAGAGACATGAGTGTTGTGAAAAGTAATTGTACCTTTCATAGATCTCTGCGATTCTTCGTTGGAATGAGCATGGTGATGGCACGATAGTTTCGAAGAACGAATTAAGAGTACTCGCCCGTTCTATAAAAAAAGCGGATTGACGTTGGAAAATTCTCAAACTTCTGTTACACAATTCTAATGACACGAATATACGAGTACTTGTGTTGATGTTGCTTATTAATATTCACGCCAGAGGTTGTAGCTGTTTTATTGTTTTCTATACTCTGGTCAATCTTATTGAAATGCATAGAACACTGACATAATATCTAATGTTCGTTCTACACATCTACAAACGGTCAATTATATTAATAATACACGATTCGTTAATACTTGCTATGGCCTGTTTATATGTTAATGGTATTGATTTTGCTATAATACATGCGCTATCTGATAATAACCAGAGCAAGAATTGCACATTCATTATAAACCAACAAACGAACGCAAATAGCATTATGCAGTAATTTTGATCCAGCGCAGTTTGCATACAAATGCATGATTACGGGATTATTTTACCGAACAATGTGGAAATACAGTCGTAGAGTGCACAAAAATCTTGTAAACCCAGGATAATCGGAACATCCGGCTGACAAATAGACAAGAAATTCCTGGTCGTGTGTAACATGCCTGATAAATTCCTGATTATCATTCGAGTTTAGGTGATTAAAATGTTCACAGTCAGGTTTTTGTCCTTATTTATATTTACATTTTGGAACAATAAATACACAATTGAAGTACATATATATGTACTAAAGAGAAGATGCAACGCGAGAAATTAAACTTGATTTGGGATAGCTTAAATTCGGTAATACTTTTGCTAATTTTAATTCTTTACACGACATTTCGCTTTTTGTGCTCGTCTTCCCTTCCACTGCTTGTCGACTGCAATGGCTTCCGCATACGCAACGAGTTTGCCTTCTGACTCGGTTCAACCTACTCAACAAAACCTTACCTCGCCAGCCTCCGAATCCACACCCCTTTTACGGTCTTCAGACATAATTTACGAAGATATTCCATTAAATGATGCGCCCGATGATATGACATATGATTTTAAGGAAGCAGCGTTTATTTTTCGAAAGGCAGTGCCTATAGCGCTGACTTACCTTATAGAATTCTCGCTACATATTGTATCCGTTATCACTTTGGGACATCTGGTAAAGAGATCTTTTGCAATGTGATTGTTGTGATTCGGGATAACAAACGTTCATTATGATGACGACTCGATCGACTTACTAGGGATCGGTTGAATTGGCCTCGTCGGCATTGGCATCAATGGTAAATAATTTAAACAAGCATCAAGAATCCAAGAATAGAGAAATATAAACGCGAATTCACTACTTTTATTATCAATTTTTTCTGTCAAGTTTGCCTCGGTTACCGGTTGGTCTATAGCATTCGGTGCTGCTACAGCCCTCGACACTCTTTGCTCTCAAGCTTTCACTTGTGGGAATCCCATGCTCGTTGGTGTATATCTCCAACGTACGATTATTATTATTTTCTTTATCTCGATCCCTATAGCAGTCGTATGGTTAAACGCAGAATCGATATTAATATTTCTCGGACAAAGAGAAGATTTGGCACGATATGCTGGTCTCTTTTTGCGATGCTTGTTGTGTGGAGCACCAGCTTTTGTCATGTTTGAGTGTCTTAAGAAGTATTTACAGGCACAAGGTTTGTTAATAAAATTACAGAAAAACGTGGGGGGGGGGGGGGGGATAGATTGATAGAAGCGGATGTCGGTGCCGAACAAGGGAAAAATATTTTTTTTTGAGGGTAACAAAAATTGTCTCGTTTACTCATAATAGGAATAGTGAAAGCCCCAACTTACGTATTAGTAATCGCCGCAACGTTAAATATATGCTTAAACTACCTTCTCGTCTGGTATGAACCGTTTTCTCTCGGTTTTATTGGGGCCCCCATTGCAACCGCGACAACGTATTGGTTTATGTTAATTCTGCTCATTGGTTACATCCGATACTTTGATGGGTACCAGGTGTGGGGAGGATGGACAAGGCAATGTCTTTCGGGTTGGGGTGAAGTTGTAATGTTAGCTGTGCCAGGCATTTTCATGATTTGGTAAGCGGGATATGATTTCAGTTTTAACTTGCATACTAGTTTTCTTTGCTAAAAAAAATCAAATCTTCTGGTCAGTTCCGAGTGGTGGGCTTTCGAACTCATAGCCCTAGCTGCGGGTTACTTTGGTGAAACAGCTCTGGCAGCTCAGAGCGTGATCCTCACAACTGGCTCGACGTTATTCCAGTTTCCCTTTGGTGTCGCCGTCTCGGCATCAAATCGTGTTGGAAATCTTATTGGGGCGGGATTGGTCAAGAGAGCTCAGATTAGCTCGCGTATGGCTATGATCTTGGCAGTTATAGTTGGAGGAACAACAATGTCATTGTTGTTGGTGTGTAGGCATTCTTGGGGGTAAGTTTGATTGAAAGATTGAATCTTTTGAGGGATAGATTACATTATTAATAAAATGTTTTTGCAGATATCTGTTTACCGGAGATAAAGATGTTGTGGAATTAGTAGCATCGGTTTTACCAATGTGCGCCGCGTTTCAGGTGAGCGCCATCACATCACGTGACAATATGTGATACGTGACTACATGATTACATGTTTTTTCTTTTTCAGATAAGCGACGCACTTGGAACGGTAGGCGGTGGTATAATTCGCGGTCTCGGTCGTCAAAAAATCGGCGCTACGCTTAACATAATCGCATATTACTTTATTGGTCTTCCATTCTCCTTGGTCACGGCTTTCATCTTTGAGTGGCGCCTGATAGGTCTGTGGGCTGGTTTAATGATTGGATCGATGTGTGTTGGGGCGGGAGAACTGATTCTGATCATGAAGACTAATTGGGGGCGGGAAGCAGAAAATGTAAGAATAAGATTTTTAGCGGACAACGCAAAGACGAGGAGGAACAATGAGCTGAACAGGGAAGTTGGGAATGGGCTTAACGATGGGGTGGAGTATGGGAACGCGTGAGTATTATCACATGGTCCAATAAAGCCATTTCCGTAGGATGGATATATGGATATGATGAGGATGACTAGTAAACGAGGTGTATGAATGTCGTAACGATTTAACAGCAGGGACAACAAAATTTATAGATAGTAGTGCTACAATGTGTAGGGAGGGTATGAACCAAATATTTGGCCACGCGAACTACAAGATTAGAGTGATCGGCAAGATCAGGAATAATGGTATTTACTTGTCTAGAAAAAATAATAAAGAAATATTATTTACAGTATAACCATACGTCTTGTTCGTCTGAAATAGTTTCTGCCCTAACCGTAAGCAAAATTTGTGTTAACTTCCTAGTCCCTCGCGTTTGCAGTCTTCATACACCACTTTTAAGATAAAATTTGGAAAACGCTCAACTTTAAATGAAAATGGCCCTTTAGTTTTACAATAGAATGATAATTAGTAAGTCTATAATAATTTTTGTTACAGTGACGAATGAATAAATCTTTCTCCAGAAACTATCCAAACATCCAACAAATATAAACATACAAAATCAATTTTCCACATTTGCGTAAAATTTTTTTGGTTTTCGACGCGTTTCTTGATATGTGTAATCGAATTAGATGAAAATCATTACTATACTCGGCAACAATATGCAAATCGACGGATATTATTGTGCACCTTCAACAGACAACGGTTCTAAATATGACAGCAAATTGTCAAGTTTTTGCTTAATAACAATATGCCAAACTTAATAGATTGACATCAACAGGCCGGATTTAAATTTAAGTTCGAAAATAACTTTGTAGTGATTGTGGCGTAGGGTTCATCGACACGCTTCGATTAATTTAGATTACTAAAACAAACTTATATAAATTTAGGAAACTCGGCATTTCAAATAAGCGTATTTTCATTTTTAGTATTGGCACAAACATAGATGTTGCCTTATACAAAATACATGAAATATTTGAAAACATGTAAATTTTACCCGCTATGGTTGTTTAAGGAGGCGAGCTGTGCTCTAAAGTCTATGACAGTACACATTCCAAAAAAAGCATTAATTATAGGAGCCTTTTTTGTATACTGGCATTACGCAAGTAAAAGCTTTATCTAACTGCATGCTTTGTATTTGAACGATTGATAACAACAAGTCTACAGCTACACGCGCATCGATTAAGATTTTAAGAAAATTTTCGTAGATTAAATATTTCCCAGACACGTTGCATATTTTATGGAAAAATTATAAACAAATGTAAGGTAAAAAGGGTATTGCGGCGAACAATGAATATTGTCAATTCACAGCGGATTATCTTTATGAAATATTTTCTTTATAATCAATGCATATCTCAGACTCGGCATTCCAAAAAATAAACGACCAATTGTTAATGACAATAATTGATGCTGATAATGGAAAAACACAGTCGTCATTACCCATCCAAGTATAGTAAAAAAAGTTACGCTGACAATTTTGCATTAGTATTTGACTATCGAAATAATTAAGGTTCTTATCAGCCTTGAAAACGCCATTAGTTAGCGTTATTATTCCATTATTATAATCGCCGATAAAGAAAAGTAGTTGCAGTCCAAAGGAGAAGAACATGCACGAAAAGAACAAACCGATAAAAACTGTATGTCATTCTAAATTAATATGATTTAACCCTAATACTAAAGGTAGCACAAATATGAACAAGTGATTAAATTACAAATATCGCGTGTTTATAGTGATGGGAAACCGAAATAAACAGCCGTGAAGAATATTTTCGAAAATTATCCGTTTTGTTTTTTTACTTTTGAGTGAAGTGAATGACTCACGTATTCACTTTATATGCGTGCAGATAAAACAAATTAATTGAATATACTATGTTTTCTGATTGTTAGTTTTAACAATGATAATGATAAGTATTTTTATTATTTGTCATTAATAGTCAGATAATCAATGATTTAACATTCTTTGTCAAGTTAAAGTATAAAATAAGTTCTATTTTACATGTTTGAATAAGATAATGTCAACGCTAAGTACCAAAGTAAAAGAGCACAAGAAGGCCGAGAATTTCATCTGAAGCCAAGAAAAGATATTGAGCATCAAAACACCAGATGGTAACAGACGATCGGCTTTGTCGCTTCGCTTTTGAATGGATCTTTGTTAAGCACGATACAAAGGTCGTGGTACTCAGTTCAACATCAACGTTGATGACACCGAATTTGGTGAGCTTGCTGAAGGACTTATTATCGATCGTTACAATGGGCTCAGATCAGCCGAGAATCAAAAACGCCGTAGAGAGATTGAAAACACGAAAGATACGGATTTAGCTAACGCCCGAAGATGGGAATTGTACAATAAAGTCCTTGAGATGTTGCAGGACGACGGGATCACTGACATGAGCAAGCGCTACCAGGGATTAAAATAGGAACAGAGGAGAATACGGGTTCCTAAAGGTATCATCAACCCGATGGTCAATTAATGGAGTGGGGGGGAAGGGGTAACGGTGATATTAACAAAGTATTCAAACTGTTCATAAATTTTACAAATCTTAGAAAAACAAGAGAAAGATTTCGATTGGGAAAAAAGATGCTGCGAATCATACAATGAATTAGTAATTTAATAGATGAATGCCATCACCAGCTTACCCGATGGTTATGTTAGAATTATGCTACCTAAATTCAAAACATCACATATGGTTCTCAAGAACAAAAAAAAGATCCAATCAAGGACAAGAAGATAAGAGAGTACAAGTGTTGCAAGGTTATCGAGTGCGCTGCACGATGGCAAATTGGGTGCTTCTAAGACTTTTCGTGCGTGGTGTAGATGGTCCGAGACGCGAAATGGGCGGGAACATCATTCAAATTGTTAACAGAGGGTCAGGTTTTGGCCTGATTTTGGAACTTGAACCTTTATGGGATACGATATGATTAACTCTCTTGATTCATGCTGGATTCAATTTCAAGGGTACGGTATAATTCAAAGCCTATTTGTTGTAATCATTGTATCATCGCTCTGAATATAGTTGGAGCGATCACTTGGAAAGGCCTTTATAAACGTATCATAGACATAAGAACGCGTCAAGAAAGAATAGGCTTTTTGGCTATCCCCATATGCAAGTGATAAACTTGAATGACACACAATTAACATTTTTGTCGTAAAAATATGCTTGTTTATTATATATATGTTAACGTATTCGGTTATTCCATGTTTAATAAATGATAAAAGCTACTACTCAATCGCTAAATAATTTGCTTCTAAAGCGACTAAAACTCGATTCCTAATCACTAATAAGTACGGACTAATTCTACTTCTCTTTTTCAAAGCATTTGCAGTCATCTACATCATCATAATAATTCTCAAGAAGGAATCGGGCAACACGAACTGCTCGGTTCGAGACTTCTTCTTTATTATGGGTCTCATTCTTAGCAACGAGTTTGTCAACTTCCGCTTTAGCATACACCGAAACTTTCTCAACTGCTTCCGTCTTATCATATGCACTAGTTGTCTTGACTTTGTTGCGTTGGCATTTAAACTTACGGAGTGCTTGATAGGCTGCGCCGGAAACAATCAATTCAGAATCAAGATGTCCTTCCTCCGTCGTTGTGGTTACTTCTTCAGTAACTATAACTTCTTCGACCGTGGTGACCACGGTTCCGTCAGAGGTAGTAGTCGTTGTTTTTTCAGCAGGTTTTTTAGTGACAGTAACTTTTGTAGACGAGCCTGTTGATTCAATGCTGCCTCCCACCGCTGATGAGCTTGTCGCTTTGCCGTGAGTTTCAACAGTTACTTTACCCGAAGGTTTACTAACTACTTCGACCTCCTCTACGACGGTTTCGCTACGAGTATCCGTCTTAGTTTCTGTAGGCGTGACATGCGACCCGGTAACTTTAGTCGTCTTAACAACCACTTCCTCTTCTTCAACGACGCCTGCTTTGATTTCCTTAATAGGCTTAACATGCGACCCGGTAACTTTAGTAGTAGTCTCGGGAACCTTATGCACTGATACGGTTGCTGTTTTGGTCTTTGTTTCGACAGTCGCTTGGCCTCCTGAATGACTTCCGCCGTGCGAGGACCTTTCGCCATGCCCTTCTTTTTCAATTACTTCAACCTTTTCTACAACGGTTTCGCTATGAGTCTCTGTCTTGGTTTCAGCGGGTTTGACATGCGATCCGGTAACTTTAGTAGTAGTCTCGGGAACCTTATGCACTGATACGGTTGCTGTTTTGGTCTTTGTCTCGACAGTCGCTTGGCCTCCTGAGTGACTTCCGCCGTGCGAGCCATGCCCTTCTTTTTCAATTACTTCAACCTTTTCTACAACGGTTTCGCTATGTGTCTCAGTCTTGGTTTCGGCGGGTTTGACATGCGACCCGGTAACTTTAGTAGTAGTCTCGGGAACCTTATGTACTGATACGGTTGCTGTTTTGGTCTTCGTTTCGACAGTCGCTTGGCCTCCTGAGTGACTTCCGCCGTGCCCTCCTTTTTCAATTACTTCAACCTTTTCTACAACGGTTTCGCTATGAGTCTCTGTCTTGGTTTCAGCGGGTTTGACATGCGACCCGGTAACTTTAGTAGTAGTCTCGGGAACCTTATGCACTGATACGGTTGTTTTGGTCTTTGTTTCGACAGTCGCTTGGCCTCCTGAATGACTTCCGCTGTGCGAGGACCTTTCGCCATGCCCTCCTTTTTCAACCTTTTCTACAACGGTTTCGCTATGAGTTTCTGTCTTAGTTTCAGCAGGTTTGACATGCGATCCGGTAACTTTAGTCGTCTTAACAATCACTTCCTCTTCTTCAACCGCGCCTGATTTGATTTTCTTAGAAGTACCGGTTGATTCGATCGTCTTTGTTCTACCGGCTTGAAAATCGACTTTATGAAGCCGAAAAAGGTTAATATAACACATTCTTATAGATTTTTTACAAAACTGAAAAAGAACATAAATACCTTCAAACGAATAGTCGAGTTTAATAGATTCCTTGTCGACATGATATCTCTCGATAATGTAAGTTTTCGCGAATTCATGAATTTCTTTTTCAAGTTCGGTATCTTTGATTTGAGCAGACAACCAAGCATGAGATCGTCTGTAACATGATTCCCATTCTACACGATGGTCCACGGCCACGAGGCGTAGATACCACAATGATACTGCTGTGCTTATAATGCGAATGTCAAGCTTGGAAACCCGCTCAGACTTGAAGTGGCCCCGAAGACTTGCTTCGAACGAGTGTGTCGAATCGAACGTGAAGAGTTTGGCGAACTCGTTACTAATATTGACGTAGCCGTCTTTATGATAATGTGTGATATGTTTGAGAACGATGGTCTTGTTGATTTGAGCGCGTGTAACCTTAACCGATGTATCTGCATAGTAGAGCAAATGATGAGTGAAAAGTTCCGTATGTACCATATTTACATAAATTACTTAACGGCTTACCAATCTTGATCGTTGCAAGTCTCTTTTCTTCTTCTATCCGCACTTTTTCGAGTACTTCTTCTTTTTCCTTTTGGGCACTGACAAAGCTTTCGTCAATAGTGAATACCTCCTTCTCGACTTTATATCTTTCAACGACAAACTTCTTAGCACTTTCGAGAATTTCTTTTTCCAACTGAGCGTCGTTATGTAAATGAAGTTTCAGCCATGCATATGCTAGGTCGTAGCGATCAAGCCAATCGTGTTTGTAATCGACGGCCACGAGTCTCCAGTACCACAAAGTAACCGCGGTTATCCAGACTTGATTGTCAACTTTCTTCACACGCTCGCTGACAAAGTGTTTTTTCAAGCTTGCAGAAAATTCTTCCGATGTTTCGAATCCATAAAAGGCAGCGGTCTTTTCATCAAGCGAGAATGCACCGGATTCTGATTGATGCACGAAGAAACGTCTAACAGTTCGGCTAGTGATTATTTTGCGCGTAACAATAGTCTTCGTGGTCACTATATACGAAATGTTTGTTAGTGTCGAACAAGATGCCGGTTTAAAACTTTCGTAACCAGTTCCTTCTAGTCAATCTCATTATAATTACCTGATGTTTGTAAACTGACTTCTTGTTCCTTTGTGAGTGTAATCTTGAATCTTTCTATGACGAACTTCCTTGCATGTTCATATAAAAGATCTTCTACCTCGACGTCGTATACTTGAGAGCTAACCCATTGTTCCGAGTTGTTGATAATAAGTGCCCATTCGTCTCGGAATTTCCAGTGAAGCAATTTAACATATGTAATAGTCAAAACTGTAGACCAGACAGACAAGTCCAAAGATAATAATTGTTTGTTTTGACCAACGTGCGTCTTAAAGGCCTCAATTAATTCTAGATGAGTCTTGAAGTTAAAGTATCGGGCTAAATTGTCGGTAGCTTCGAATGAGCCAACACTGAGTCTCCAACTGATAAGTGTGTATAAGTGACTGATATCGACATTGTCTTTGCTGAAGACGAAGTGCTCATCGATTGACAGCTTGGTAGGAGAGAATTGGGCTTCAATGTGAATCTCACCCTTTGTACCTTTTCCATCAGGACGTGTAACCTTTTCCCATTTGTCCAAACGCTTTCCGCTACTGTATGTGCCGTCCGCATTGCGTTTAATCAATTCGCATAGATGTAAGACGTAGTGTCCAAGGGGAGTATCGTCAACGAAGAGATTTTCGTCAAGAATTTCCAGAGTAATTTTGTCCTTTTCGCCGTGAACTGAGACAAAGTGGACTTCTTCCCAGACAGGATTTTTTGTTTTCGCAACAACTTTCGTTCTAGCAATCTCTTTAGATGCAGCGTCAAGAATACGGACATAGGGATCAGTCGTCTGGAAAAATCCACCCGAAAGAAGATCCTTTGCTCGGTCAATTTTGATTTTAACGACACCGACTACAACTTCGTTAACAACATCTGCAACGACGGTTTCCTCGACTTCGTCAATTTCAAGTTGCTTCTTAACTTCCTCGGACACTGTCTCGTTGGTGATTTTCAGTGTTGCCTTAAACGATTCGTCCTTCTCCAAAATCTCTTCATCGACCTCGTAGCGTTTGACGACGAATACTCTTGCTGCTTCGAGAAGTTCTTGCTCAACTTCTTTATTGTTGATTTGTGCACTCAGCCAGGCGGATGACTTCTTGTACGCAATCGCCCACTTGTCTCTGTGATCGACCATGGTGTACCGGAAGTACCAGAGAAGAATCGCCGTGCTGTAGACATGGACGTCGAGTTTGGCAACTTTGGAATGGGATGAGAAATGGGCCTGTATTTCTTTTTGCGCTACTTCGATTGACTCGAATCCAAGAGATCCTGCAAGATGAGTGTCGAGCTTGTATGAACCTGATTCGCTTTGATAAGAAATAATACGGCGGACGTGATGAATGGTGATAGTGCGATGAGTGATAATGGTTGTCTTTGTTTTCGTCTCTGATTTCGTCTCTGATTTCGTTCCTGATTTCGTCTCAACTACAACGCCACAAATGCGCTTGTGTTCGTCGCTTTCCCATTTAGTAATACTGTAATGCTTGATAACGTAGCTGTTCACTGCTGCGTATACTCGTTCTTCAACTTCCACGTCGTTGATTGATTCACTGATCCACGTTTCAGTCTTGGCATGGAAGGCTAGCCATTCACTTCTGTGTTTCCACAAAAGAGTTTTGAGGAACGAAGAAATAAAGACTGAGAGTATGATAGACTTGTCAAGCGATTTGAGTTTATTGTCAGATGCGACTGTAGAATGGAATGAAAGCACTAGTTCATCGACAGTTGAGTAGTTAAACAGAACAGCCAATCGGTTATCGAGTTCAAATGATCCGTTCTGGCGTTGTAGCGTAACGATAAGATAAAGATGGCTTATGCTGACTGACGTAACGTCTAATTTCTTGGTTTCTTTGAAATCGCTGCTGAAGGAAATGAATTGTGCGGCAAGTTGAAGTTTTCCCTTGGTGGCACCTTTGTATCTCAGATCAACAGCTTTCTCTAAGTGTTTGCCCTCAATTGTTTTATCAGCTTTGATTTTGATCAACTCTTTAAGATCAAGAGTGTACGAACCCAACAAGACATCTTTGAAGAAGGCATTGTAATCGTTGACTACGAGATTCAGTTTCTTGCTAGCGTCGTATATGGGAATGTAAAAGACTTGGTTCCAGACAGGGTTCGTCGTATTGTAGACAACTTTAGTTTCCGCGTACTCCAATCCAGTGGCTAAATCAATAACTTTCACATATGGATCAGAGGCACCACCACCAAACCAAGAATCGGCGTTTCTGACGTTCTTCGCGCTATCAATGTGTAGACGGAGTAGTCCAAGAAGTTTAAGAGCTGCGATAGATTTAGTTAGAGTCAGTATTTCTAAGGCACGCATAAACTACTTCATACATATGCATTATACACACCTGCTGAGCCTTGTATAACTGTGGTTGCTTTACCAGATTGAATGAGTTTCTTCTTCTCCTTGAAAGATTCTTCGAATTGAGCATCAATTTTCAATACTTCCTCGTCGACTCTGTATCGCTCTTTTGTGAATGATTTCATGACCGAGAACACTTCTGTTTCAATTGATTCTGTAAACTTGAACTGGGTAATCAGCCATCTATACGAAATTTCATATTGGGACTGCCAATGGGCGCGGTGATCAACTGCAACCAAGCGATAATAGTGGAGAACAAAAGCGGTAACCCAGACGTTGGTGTCGATGTAAGAAGCTTTGCCTTTGGCATGTTTTTGCACGAACGTCGTAATTGCTGTGCGGAGTTCTACTTCGCTACTGAATCCAAGAGATACGGCAAGTTCTTTGTTGATTATGAAAAAGCCAGTTTTATGCTGGTGTTTGAAGGTCGTATCAATATGAGCCTTTGTTATATTCTTCCTTGTGATAGTAGTGACCGATATTTTCGTCTTCTCTTCAATTTTCTCCTTCACTTCAATTTTCTCAGTTACTTCAACTTTCTTCTCTTCGGTCTTCTTCTCTTCGGTCTTCTTCTCTTCGGTCTTCTTCTCTTCGGTCTTCTTCTCTTCGGTTTTCTTCTTCACTTCAGTTACTTCAGTTTTCTTCTCTTCGACTGTCTTCCCACCGGATATACTTCTAGCAAAATAACCAAAAATCCCGCCGCCAGATGTCTTCAATGTTTCTTTGTGAATATGAAACATGTTAGCTTACGAACAAAAATATTATAAAAACTCTTCAGCAAAACAAAAAGAAAAAGAGGAAGAAAAAAAAATACCTTCAAACGAATAATCGAGTTTAATAGATTCCTCGTCGACATGATATCTCTCGATAATGTAAGTTTTCGCGAACTCATGGATTTCTTTTTCAAGTTCAATATTTTTGATTTGAGCAGACAACCAAGCATGAGATCGTCTGTAACATGATTCCCATTCTACACGATGGTCCACGGCCACGAGGCGTAGATACCACAATGATACTGCTGTGCTTATAATGCGAATGTCAAGCTTGGAAACCCGCTCAGACTTGAAGTGGCCCCGAAGACTTGCTTCGAACGAGTGTGTCGAATCGAACGTGAAGAGTTTGGCGAACTCGTTACTAATATTGACGTAGCCGTCTTTATGATAATGTGTGATATGTTTGAGAACGATGGTCTTGTTGATTTGAGCGCGTGTAACCTTAACCGATGTATCTGCATAGTAGAGCAAATGATGAGTGAAAAGTTCCGTATGTACCATATTTACATAAATTACTTAACGGCTTACCAATCTTGATCGTTGCAAGTCTCTTTTCTTCTTCTATCCGCACTTTTTCGAGTACTTCTTCTTTTTCCTTTTGGGCACTGACAAAGCTTTCGTCAATAGTGAATACCTCCTTCTCGACTTTATATCTTTCAACGACAAACTTCTTAGCACTTTCGAGAATTTCTTTTTCCAACTGAGCGTCGTTATGTAAATGAAGTTTCAGCCATGCATATGCTAGGTCGTAGCGATCAAGCCAATCGTGTTTGTAATCGACGGCCACGAGTCTCCAGTACCACAAAGTAACCGCGGTTATCCAGACTTGATTGTCAACTTTCTTCACACGCTCGCTGACAAAGTGTTTTTTCAAGCTTGCAGAAAATTCTTCCGATGTTTCGAATCCATAAAAGGCAGCGGTCTTTTCATCAAGCGAGAATGCACCGGATTCTGATTGATGCACGAAGAAACGTCTAACAGTTCGGCTAGTGATTATTTTGCGCGTAACAATAGTCTTCGTGGTCACTATATACGAAATGTTTGTTAGTGTCGAACAAGATGCCGGTTTAAAACTTTCGTAACCAGTTCCTTCTAGTCAATCTCATTATAATTACCTGATGTTTGTAAACTGACTTCTTGTTCCTTTGTGAGTGTAATCTTGAATCTTTCTATGACGAACTTCCTTGCATGTTCATATAAAAGATCTTCTACCTCGACGTCGTATACTTGAGAGCTAACCCATTGTTCCGAGTTGTTGATAATAAGTGCCCATTCGTCTCGGAATTTCCAGTGAAGCAATTTAACATATGTAATAGTCAAAACTGTAGACCAGACAGACAAGTCCAAAGATAATAATTGTTTGTTTTGACCAACGTGCGTCTTAAAGGCCTCAATTAATTCTAGATGAGTCTTGAAGTTAAAGTATCGGGCTAAATTGTCGGTAGCTTCGAATGAGCCAACACTGAGTCTCCAACTGATAAGTGTGTATAAGTGACTGATATCGACATTGTCTTTGCTGAAGACGAAGTGCTCATCGATTGACAGCTTGGTAGGAGAGAATTGGGCTTCAATGTGAATCTCACCCTTTGTACCTTTTCCATCAGGACGTGTAACCTTTTCCCATTTGTCCAAACGCTTTCCGCTACTGTATGTGCCGTCCGCATTGCGTTTAATCAATTCGCATAGATGTAAGACGTAGTGTCCAAGGGGAGTATCGTCAACGAAGAGATTTTCGTCAAGAATTTCCAGAGTAATTTTGTCCTTTTCGCCGTGAACTGAGACAAAGTGGACTTCTTCCCAGACAGGATTTTTTGTTTTCGCAACAACTTTCGTTCTAGCAATCTCTTTAGATGCAGCGTCAAGAATACGGACATAGGGATCAGTCGTCTGGAAAAATCCACCCGAAAGAAGATCCTTTGCTCGGTCAATTTTGATTTTAACGACACCGACTACAACTTCGTTAACAACATCTGCAACGACGGTTTCCTCGACTTCGTCAATTTCAAGTTGCTTCTTAACTTCCTCGGACACTGTCTCGTTGGTGATTTTCAGTGTTGCCTTAAACGATTCGTCCTTCTCCAAAATCTCTTCATCGACCTCGTAGCGTTTGACGACGAATACTCTTGCTGCTTCGAGAAGTTCTTGCTCAACTTCTTTATTGTTGATTTGTGCACTCAGCCAGGCGGATGACTTCTTGTACGCAATCGCCCACTTGTCTCTGTGATCGACCATGGTGTACCGGAAGTACCAGAGAAGAATCGCCGTGCTGTAGACATGGACGTCGAGTTTGGCAACTTTGGAATGGGATGAGAAATGGGCCTGTATTTCTTTTTGCGCTACTTCGATTGACTCGAATCCAAGAGATCCTGCAAGATGAGTGTCGAGCTTGTATGAACCTGATTCGCTTTGATAAGAAATAATACGGCGGACGTGATGAATGGTGATAGTGCGATGAGTGATAATGGTTGTCTTTGTTTTCGTCTCTGATTTCGTCTCTGATTTCGTTCCTGATTTCGTCTCAACTACAACGCCACAAATGCGCTTGTGTTCGTCGCTTTCCCATTTAGTAATACTGTAATGCTTGATAACGTAGCTGTTCACTGCTGCGTATACTCGTTCTTCAACTTCCACGTCGTTGATTGATTCACTGATCCACGTTTCAGTCTTGGCATGGAAGGCTAGCCATTCACTTCTGTGTTTCCACAAAAGAGTTTTGAGGAACGAAGAAATAAAGACTGAGAGTATGATAGACTTGTCAAGCGATTTGAGTTTATTGTCAGATGCGACTGTAGAATGGAATGAAAGCACTAGTTCATCGACAGTTGAGTAGTTAAACAGAACAGCCAATCGGTTATCGAGTTCAAATGATCCGTTCTGGCGTTGTAGCGTAACGATAAGATAAAGATGGCTTATGCTGACTGACGTAACGTCTAATTTCTTGGTTTCTTTGAAATCGCTGCTGAAGGAAATGAATTGTGCGGCAAGTTGAAGTTTTCCCTTGGTGGCACCTTTGTATCTCAGATCAACAGCTTTCTCTAAGTGTTTGCCCTCAATTGTTTTATCAGCTTTGATTTTGATCAACTCTTTAAGATCAAGAGTGTACGAACCCAACAAGACATCTTTGAAGAAGGCATTGTAATCGTTGACTACGAGATTCAGTTTCTTGCTAGCGTCGTATATGGGAATGTAAAAGACTTGGTTCCAGACAGGGTTCGTCGTATTGTAGACAACTTTAGTTTCCGCGTACTCCAATCCAGTGGCTAAATCAATAACTTTCACATATGGATCAGAGGCACCACCACCAAACCAAGAATCGGCGTTTCTGACGTTCTTCGCGCTATCAATGTGTAGACGGAGTAGTCCAAGAAGTTTAAGAGCTGCGATAGATTTAGTTAGAGTCAGTATTTCTAAGGCACGCATAAACTACTTCATACATATGCATTATACACACCTGCTGAGCCTTGTATAACTGTGGTTGCTTTACCAGATTGAATGAGTTTCTTCTTCTCCTTGAAAGATTCTTCGAATTGAGCATCAATTTTCAATACTTCCTCGTCGACTCTGTATCGCTCTTTTGTGAATGATTTCATGACCGAGAACACTTCTGTTTCAATTGATTCTGTAAACTTGAACTGGGTAATCAGCCATCTATACGAAATTTCATATTGGGACTGCCAATGGGCGCGGTGATCAACTGCAACCAAGCGATAATAGTGGAGAACAAAAGCGGTAACCCAGACGTTGGTGTCGATGTAAGAAGCTTTGCCTTTGGCATGTTTTTGCACGAACGTCGTAATTGCTGTGCGGAGTTCTACTTCGCTACTGAATCCAAGAGATACGGCAAGTTCTTTGTTGATTATGAAAAAGCCAGTTTTATGCTGGTGTTTGAAGGTCGTATCAATATGAGTCTTTGTTATAGTCTTCCTTGTGACAGTAGTTTTAACCTCGATCTTGTCATCCCTTACGGCAACTTGTGTGCCGGAAGTGGAAGTCACATTCTTGCTCCCTACAATAAACGTACGCTGTTAATAAAATACCGAAAAGATGGAACTCGAATATTCCAACCAAGATGCTTACCGCTATAGTAGACTTCGTCAATTTTAATAGTAGCTTTATCGACTTGGTATTTCTCAATGACAAAGCTCTTGGCGTATTCATGTAGTTCTTGCTCAAGCTTCGCATCGTTGATGGTCACCGATAACCATTTGGATGATTTTTCGTAGACTGATTGCCACTCATTACGATGATCAATGGCAACCAAGCGTAAATACCAGAGAGTAACGGCAGTGGAAATAACGTGGATATCCAGTTCAGATACGCGTTTTGATTTGATATAGACATTAATGTCTTGTTCAAAGTCTTTGCGAGATTCAAAGCCGAGTATTTTAACAAAGGCGGCGTCCGCGGTGAACTGCCCATCATGTTTCTGGAACGAAATATATTTCTTGACAAAGTTGAGAGTAATAAGACGACGAGTCATGATGATTACAGCGCCTGTTGAAATAACATTTTTCAAACCGTCAGTATATTATGTCAAAGACAAAAAAATCTCTTAAGGTTCAAATTGAAGAAAAAGAAAGTACCTTCTTTTATCTTCTTTTCGTTATCTGCTTCAATAATTTTGGTTTTATTCTCTTGTTCCTTTACAAAACTGTCGTCAGCGGCTATAGCCTCTTTGTCAACTTCGTATCTCTCAACTACCCATTTCTTTGCAGATTCGAATATTTCCGTTTCGAGCTGAGCATCTTGGTCAATTTGTCTCTTTAGCCAAACATAGGACGAATTGTATCGTTCACTCCAATCCGCTCGATAATCAACAGCGACCAGTCTCATATACCACAAAGTGACTGCCGTAACCCAGACATCAATGTGCACCTTCTTGACGCGATCAGATTTAAAGTGCTTTCGTAAATGTTCCGTAAACTTAGTCGTGCTTTCAAAGCCGTAAAAAGCGGCTATCTTGTCATTAAGGCTGTAACGGCCTTCCGTAGTCTGGTATGTCAAGAAGTGGCGAACAATGCGGATGGTAATGGTTTTGCGCGTAATAATTTTACCCGTAATGACTTTTGCAAAAACGAAAAAGTGGAAAAGTTAATAAATGTTAATTCGAATACAGTAATAACAACTATGCATATAACAACACACATACCACTTGTTTGAAGAACTTTTTGTTGTTTATCAGATAATGTGATCTTGAATCTTTGCAAGATGTAGTTGCGTACAACGTCAAACAGACGATCCTCATCATCCACATCATAAATCTGAGAGCTAATCCATCGTTCCGAACTTTCCGCGATAGTTTTCCATTCCTTTTCAAAGTTCCAGAAGAAAATCTTCAAGTATCCTATAGCAAGAGCGGTTGACCACACGTTAAGATCAAGGGAGCGAAGAGCTTTGTCATTAGCAAGAGCGCCTCCAAAACTATCTCGCAATTCCTCGGCCGAAGTGAAATTGAAAAACCGCGCAAGGCCATACGAAAATTCGAACGCATTATCAGGTCTTCGCCAGCTGATGAGAATGTAAAACAAGCGCTCGTTGACAGTTGTCGGCGAAAAGATGAATTTGTCTTCGAGAATAAGAGCTGTCGAGAAGAATTTCGCTCCGATTTGGAGTTCGCCTTGAGTGCCACTGCCATTGGGAAGCTGAACTTTCACCCAACTCTCTGGGAATTCGCCATTCTCAAATATTCCCTCATCATTCTGTTTGACAAAACCAGAAATATCAAGGGTATAGTGTCCAAGATTTTCATCGGTCAGGAGGTTCGAATCAAAAATTTCCAGGTTGATCTTCTCATTCGGAGCATAAACGGATACAAAGTGAACCTCTTCCCATACTGGATTTCTAGTAGAACGATTTATTACAGTGGTAGCAACTTTTTTACCGGAACCATCGATAATACGGATATAGGGATCTGTTGTTGTAAAAAGACTGCTGCTCTTTGAAAGGTCCTTTGCACGACGGATGTTTAGTCTGATAATACCGATTATACTATCAGATTTGGTTTCACTTTCCTCCTCAACTTTGCGTGCCAACTTCTTACGGTCTTCTTCGGTTATCTTGTCTTGACTCGTGAAAATAAGTTCAAAGGATTTATCACTTTCAATAGCTTCTTCTTCGACTTCGTATCTCTCAATGACAAATTTCCGTGCTGCCTCGAGCACTTCTGCTTCGACCGCGGCGTCATTTATTTGAGCAGACAACCACTTGTGCGACTTTACATATGACTGAGCCCATTCTGCGCGATGGTCTACACACACGTAACGTAGATACCAAAGCATGATCGCGGTGATACGGACTTCATGACTAACCTTGCTTGCCTTTGAGTATGAAGAAAAGTGTACGTCCAAATGTTGCTTGGACTCGTCAATGCTTTCGTACCCGAGCAATTCTGTGATTTTTTGATTGTGTTCGTACGAACCGGTTTCACTTTGATATGACAGAAAGCGGCGAACGATGCGGATGGTAACGGTACGTCGAGTGATAATTGTTTTTTGAGTCGTAGTGACAACAACGCGTTTGTGTTCCTCGCTTTCCCATTGATCAAATTTAAAGAGATCAATCACGAAGCGATTAGAGGCAACATATAGACGTTCTTCAACCTCTTCATCATTTATATTTAAGCTGATCCATTCTTCCGTCTTTGCACAGCTTCCCATCCATTCATTGCTATGTTTCCACAATAAGATTCTCATGAACGAAGTCACAAGGACTGCGGTGTAGACTTTCCTGTCGAGTAACTTGAGCTGTTCGTCGTCGGAAATTTGAGCTGTAAATGCAGTGATAAGTTCAGCCTCGGATGAAAAGTTGAACAGTCTCGCCAAGCGCTTGTTAAGTACGAAAGAACCATCTGTTCGCTGAAGCGTAATGAGAAGGAACAGGTGGCGAATATTTATGGTGGAGGTGTCAATTTTAACTCCATGATCCACGTCAAAGTCGGTGAACGAATAAAAGTCACATATAAGGTGCAATTGTCCTTTCTTAGATCCCTTGTATCTGAGGTCCACGTATCTGTCAGAGTGCTTGCCTTCGATATGGCCATCCGCACAAAGCTTGACAAAATCTTTCAATTCCAGACTGTAAAGACCCAAGAGCGTGTCGCTGAGTAATGCGTTGTAGTCGTAAACGCTGAGTGTATATTTGTTGTTAAGTTCGTATACCGGAATGTAAAAGATTTCGTTCCATCGCGGTGAGTCGTTATTATAGATGGTTTGCGTCTGTCCAAGCTGCCAGCCGGTTTGTGCATTGGTAATCTTAACGTATGGGTCGGATTTTCCACCACTGAACCACCAATCAGCCGAGGGAAGTTTCTTTGCGCTAACAATGTGGATACGTGCAATACCAAGAAGCTTCTTGGCAACTGTTAAACATGATCGAAGAAAAAAGGGGAAGGGAGGTAAACTCTCAAGTACCTGATGCAATTTACTTAAAAAAATCGAATCAACGAATTAATTACCAAGCTCTCGTGTACTCTGAGTTCTGCCTTCACGGATGTCAACCTTTTGCGATGAAACTTCTTTTTCCCAGGTAATGTCAAGATCTATTGTTTCTTTATCGATAGAATAATGGTTAATAGCAATGTCCTTTACGACGCGGAATGCATCGATTTCAACTGGTTCCTTGTTTCCAAATTGGGCCCAAAGCCATCGGTAAGCCGACCAATAGCTGTTAATCCAAATTTCTCGGTGATCTATAGCCACGTAACGGTAGTAATGAAGAACGAAAACAGTAACCCAGACGTGCGTTTCGAGTTGAGTTATCCTTGAACTTAGTTTGCGCTTGGAAACTGCTTCATTAATGCTAGTACGAAGATGTTCTGCATTCTTGAAACCAATGATCTTGGCCAAGTCATCGTCTATCCTGAAGGCGCCATTACTGTTTTGGTACTGGAAGGTACGACGAATGTGGCTAACCTTTACGGTTTTGCGGGATGGCCTCGTAAGCAAAGAGCCTTAAAAGTAGATAAATGATAAGTTTTGTTGTCCAAGCTTCAAGCATAAAATTTTACGATTTAATAGCAACAGCTTTATACATACTTTGATCTAGCGAGATGTTAAACAGCTTGCTAACAGCATTTCCACCAGCGATGAAAACGACTTCTTCCAATTCCAAATTGTTAACTGTGGTACCGATATATCGCTCCGCGCGATCATAGACACCACTCCACTCGCCTTGATAGTCTTTCAACAAAAGTTTCAAGAACCAAATGACCATACTCGTGACCCAAACGGCTTCGCTCAATTTTTGCGCCTTCTCGTTCTGACACTCGGCTTTGAATTTCTGAACAAGTAGAGTTCCTGTTTCTAAACCAAACAAATTGGCTAATCCATTTGACGGCAAGAAACTGCCATTTGGTTCTTGATGGAATAGAAGAGTGTAGAATGCCGATAGGTCATATGGTTTCTTGCGAAGATTTTCAAGAAAGTCTGGGCCGGGTTGATGAAGAGTTGATAGAGGGAAGAATTTGGCGCGGTAGTGAAGCTGTCCCTTCTTTGGTAGCTTTTCCCATCTAAAATTGACCAAAATAAAAGTCTTAGAGAAACGAGACATTGAATTCGACAACGGGTGACTCGTGCAATTTGGGAAAGTTTGACTTTACCTGTCGATACCTTTCTCAGTGCCTACATATACGCCCTTGTTGAATTTGACAAGTTCATCAGTAACTTGGAAAGTTATCTTGCCGAGAGTCTTATCTTTTGTAAAAGTGTTAGAATCCATCAGCTCGAATATAAATTTCTCGTTAATTTGTTTTATTGGCAGATAGTGAACTTCATTCCAAACGGGATTCAAATCATCGTCGATGACTCTGGTAGAAGCAATGATGTTGTTGCTTCCAAATGGAAAGACGCGAACATAAGGATCGGATTTGCCTAATAACAATAAACGCATGAATTGTGAATATCGTAATGCTTCCCTTGACCACACGATGATATATGAAACGCATGTTTTTAGTACCTCCAGGAACCCAATTATCGACATTCAAAACGTCCTTTGCTTGAACAAACTCGACTCTCAATACACCGATAGCATTGGCTAAACCGAAAAACAAATCGAATTACATCAAGTACGGGCAATGCGGGCTAGGAAATCAATAAAACGACCGACTGCACAAAAATCACATACCAGATTTAGGTGTGCTAGTAGGTATCACTACCCAAACTGCAGAATTGCTAGATTTTCCGAAAGTTTTTGAACTAGTGTCGGCCAACAAGATTTGCGCAGCATCTTTTACGGCGCCCTTGATTTCTAACACGAGTTGCGGATTTTGTTGTAAAGCGATATGACCTTCTTTCGTGAGAATCCATCGTTGGTTGTTGGCATTGACGAGAGCTTTTCGTTGGGCAAGGACGAGGCGATTACCGGGTTTGCCTGATTTGAGATTATCGAAACCAACACAGAGAGTATGAGTGCCAAGTAGGTGAATCAAACAATCATGATCATGATGACAATGAGATTATATTATGACTATAAATGCGGACACAATTTAACTAATTCTGGGACGTTTTACGACAATAAACTATCTACCCGAATGTTATTAGTATGGCTAGATGATATTCCCCGATCATAGTTATGATTGTAGGCGTCTGGATATTAATGTTGATAGTTTTTGTGATAAACTATTTCTGTAATTTATTTACATGGTGGGATATTATATACACATATAAACAAAATAGACATGGGGTGGGGACAAATACTTTTACATATTTTCATATAACCCCCTGCATTAAAACATTCTCTCCACAGTCACATGATCTAATCGCATCAACTCAAATTGAAGGCATGTGATTTTCATCTAAATATCAATCTACATCTAAAACTTGGCATCTATATCAAATTAAAACAGACACATTACCCGCTTCAACTTCGAGGACATTGTTCGAATTCTTGTTAACTAGCCAGCCGTTGTCGTATCTCCATAATTGATTTGAATCGTGATCAGTATTACTCTTTTGACGCTGGACGTTAGTCTTGGGATTACCAAAGAAACCCCCAAAACCACCACGCTCAATGTCGATAACTAAATTCTGAGCGGGTGCGGCAGTCGTAGAATTTCCGGAGGGAGAAGCTGCCGACTTGATGTAAAAGTCTCCATGAGGAAACTCTTGCGTTTCGATAGTCATGATCGTGTTTCGTTTAATACACGTTCGTTGCCAAGATAGAAAATAGTGAGGGCTATCTCTTGAAGCAACGAGAACGATAAATAAATATAAATAAAACTAAACCGTTTTCCGAAATATAAGGAATTTCGGTGGGTGCAAAGAGCTTGAACCGAGTGGGATGATGGCATTTTATGAGGAAAGAGGATTGTTCTACAAAATATTGATATTTTCCCATACAACAAAGAACTTGATATTTTAGATTAGTGTTGCAAAAAAGGTTGGCTGAGGGAAAGGCTAAACTTATCCGGTCGCACAGGGGAAGAAAAAAGCTTTTCCAACAGGACGAGCGATCACTTGGACCGATTATTGATATTGATAATTGAACAATTATTAGTTGATGGTTGATAGTCGATATATGCTATGTTTCTTGTATCATGTATATTAATTATATTCAAAAGAGTAAATTTCATGTGTATTCAATTGAATTGATTTTTTTATTTTATCAGAACTTATTGTTATCGCTTAATTTATTCTACAAGCCCTTTTGCATACCAACCAATTATCCTCATAACAAAGCCACAAGACCATTCCACAAGGTTGTTATTTGATTGTATCATATTTGGATTGTGTAAGACTGGGTGATGGTGACGAATCTTGTTTCCGAGTAACTTGAGATCTTCCCAGATTATAAAGATCGTCCCGTTATTCTATAACATCGCTCTCAATATATGCTATTATACAAAGTGCCGACGCATATATAATTATCGTATGTACAGTATTATCGTGCATATAAAACGTACAAATGGTATATAGCGGATGAACAATAGGCGTGCTTCAGCGTGTCAGCATTCGATGCATATAGTTGTGTAAAGGAATCGACAAGTTAGTGTTAAGCATGTATTGATTATCAAGAAGCCATCTTTCTTTTGTCTGGCTAATTGCCCCAGATTAATATTAATGTATAAACATTAACCGTATTTCTTTTAACCATCAATATATGTTAATTCGTTATTGCACGCTCGTAAATAACATTGTTATTCCAATACGGTAGGAGCCCCTGTCAGGGAACAGTCTAAGCAGAAACTGCGAACTGGGGCAACAGAGTATCTTTACGAAATAACGACATTTATTTATGTGTACATATTAATACGTTATCATGATCAATTTTATTATCATTATCACCATCGTATCGACCTATTTCATATTTGGCTATATTTGATGTTAATTCCAGTGTTGGTGTTGCGTTGAACAAACACAGACTATATTATAAGCTTAAATGCCCTGTTAAGTACAGATGTTCCAGGACTTTCTGGACAATTCCTCTTTGTTAGTGTATTATAAGAACTTTGCCGTGCATAATCAAATCGTAACATACTGTGCATAGATATAATAAATGAATAAATAGGTATATAGATGTATTTACTTTTTATTGCTTTAATAATGTGGCTTAGACGGTTTAAATCATACCATCTGAACACGACAGCATGGCGTAAGTACATACACCATTTTTGAGTTGAATGAAAAAGCATTTGATTACATGTAAACACAATGTTGTGATCGTCGTCCTCCTCCTTCCCCCCTTAACAATAAGCTTCTCAGAATCCCAAACTAAAAACTGTTTGTCAAAAGAATATGCATACGAATTGCGGAATATACGTACAAGGAGTAAATGATAACCGATATAACGTTTAAAAATAGATTATACACAACTCCCCCCCCCCCTTTTCTCCCCCCACTTCCTCCCAATGCTGAACCTAATTGCCAGTAAGCTACTTCTTCGTGCTCACATTGCGTTCGGTAGGTGAGATTGACATCGTCAACGAATTAAAAATGCCGTGTACAACTCTTGTGTAAACACAAGATGCAACAGAAGATAGGGTAAACCGGCCCCTGTAGTTATGCAATCAATGTAACGTGTGCGATTGTCGACGGTTGTTCACATGGGTTGGCCATGTCAAAGAAGTCCGTTGGGGACCATCAGGAGAGACAGTGTTCCAGACAGTGCAGCAAGGAAGAAAAAAAAAAAAGAGAAAAAAAAAGAAAGAAAAGTATGACAATTGTTACGTACTGCACTCTATGCATGTTTGGGATGTTGTATATGCATATATTTTAAATATGCATCTGGAAATCGACTATATATCTTTACACATCTAATTTATACTACAGGGCCGACTTTTAATTTGACAGCAGGTTATCCAATTGACGAGTGTTCACTAGTACTTGGGCGTTTCATAAACAATATCAAGAGTAATTAGATAATGAAACCTTACCTATAACGAAAATCGGCTACTCTTCTTTTGCGAACAAGGGAAGAATTTATATCCCCGACGGATAGCGCTAATTTTATTAAGTAAGCGCCAATTTGCAAGAAAGGGGATTTGTCTGTAAAACAATGAGGGCGAATTTGGGAGTTGGAGGTGTATTGGGCGGAACACACAACAAAGTAATTTATTTCTATAGAAGTAACCATAATTGGATGTACGTATTTGATTCACGTGGCAAGCGCGAGTAAAAGAAATAACTGGGTATGACCAAGTCTTTTAATAAAAAATGGGCTGAAACATTATCCTGTCATTGTCGTTCAATTTCCGTAATGCTTATAACAATTATAATTATGCCCATCACTACACGCTGGAATGTTTGGTTGTACTTGACTCGCCAACCGAAAATGTATCACCAGAGCGCAATATCTGGTGTTTACAGTCACATCGCACAATGTTGCTTGCGGATGCACCTCCTGCCAAAAGTGACCACCACATTGTGATAGGCTAGGCAAATAAGATTTTGCCTGGTGTCAACAATCTTCAATTAGCAGTCGCACGAAGGAATATTAATAATCATGATAATAACAATCCGGTTACCAATTCAAAAAAGAACGCTTTCCGAGCAACCGATTTTTTTAAAAATTGAAACTTACGTAGGATTTGCTCAAAAGTAGTAGTCTATCTGGATGAGAAAACTGACTTTCTTAGAATCTGGTAAGCGCTGCGATCGCCTCATTGTAAGATCAGACAAGTCAGCCTGTATGTACTGGGAAAGAAATTAGAAACGGATCTATTGAACGGATTCTTGAGTTAGACATAACCGTTTGGAGTAATGAATATCGGTCTTATGAAAGACGGTAGTTTACTTAAAAAGAGAAAATTTACAATCTGTTCGACCCATTTGTGATAAAAACTTTAGCATATATTATTTTAAAGAATATAGATTTGCATATCATACGAAAGAGGCAGTCCCTTCTGGAAGTGACGTTCATAAAACTAGTCGACCTTGACCCGTCATACAATTTTTAGATGAAAAGGCCTTTGAAACATTACTGGCCTTTTCTCTCCAACAAACTACAATCTCCGTATACTATGCATCCATCGAAAACAGAGAACATAAAAAGCCTCAAGGTAATACTATCTTGTCAATCTACGCCATCCGTACTAAATAAAGGAATACAGGTGCGCCTGGTCATCACAAACCCTTTAATTGGATAACATTTTCCATATAAAGTTAAACGGCTTATTTATCTTTGTTTAGAAAATAAAGTTACTGTCGGAATACATTATCTCTGCAACAGGAAGGGGGTTGGTTTCTATCTAATGGATCCTTTATTGTTCTTGTCTTTTGTTTTCCAATAAGACGGAACAACCTTTTGACAGAAAGTTTTACAGTGATACAGACAAAATTGGTTACGTAGAAGAAAAAAGAAGAAAAAAAGTACTGCAACAAATGTTAGTAAAGATTAATCGCGAACTCGCCAGCTTTCAGAATAATATTAATTGAAATAATCTCTCGGGGAAAATAAAGGATCACCATACCCACCAGTAGGAAAGCAGTCAAAGACAATAGTTTACTTATACCAATAATTGATTATTCCTTCGCATAGGGAAGCACGTGCGCATCGATATTGGAACGAGAAGAGAATATGCAAAGTGACCAATGTTGAGCGAAGTCAGATACCTTTACGAAAAACTTTTCAGGCATCATATCCTGTCCGATCGCAATAAGTCAAAAGTCCTTCTACCGAAGTAGGACACGTGATGTTATCATACGCGACAGTTATTACCATAATATTCAGGACTCAATAGTAATACTGCAATCATAAATACAAAACATTGTCTTTATTAGAAAACTAATATCAAATCTCGACATTAAAGACAAATACAAACATCCGCCTTATTACATAAAACGAAGATGGGGAAACCTAACAAGGAAAAAAAGGCTATCTTTCTAGAAGACAATTGTTCCGAGTACCACCACGACAAAATCACTATGCTTCGCATAGTTTTATTTCCAATTTACTTAATGGAAAATCTTCTCTCCAAGATTCCGTACCCTAACCCTAACCTGTGATTTACGCAGTTTCCACGTTCAAATATCAATTTATTTGCCGGGATCGGCTAATGTCTTTTGATGTGGTCTCTATAATTATCATAATCAACGGGATGGACCGTGATCGTCTGTTTCGCTGCCTGCTTTCCGACAACACCATTGTCGTTATCACTATCGTTAGCACTGTCGTTAGCACTGTCGTTATCGCTGTCGTTAGCACTGTCGTTATCGCTGTCGCTGTCGCTAGTTGTAGTGATGCTGGTGTCATCGTCGTCGTCGTCAAATGTGAATATCTGACCGTTCTCATAACAAATTGTGGTCACTCCACTACTAGGTTCAATGCTTATGTAGGAGATTTTGTTCTCATTGTTCGCGTTGTATGATTCTATTTCATTCATTATGACAGTTGTTGATGATATTAGGGCCTCCGCGAAAGACATGTTAAAATATAACGTGTAGATAGAGTGAGATAGAAGAAAGGAAACAGTATGTCCGTGCTCGCCATTTTGCGTGTGATGCATACTAAATTTAGACATTTCCTACCAATGGTTCTAATTTCACGTGAACCATGGTAAAACGTGACATATTAATATAATATGTGGAGTACATGAACGAGGTAAGTTTTTATTCTAATTAGATTGCTACACAAATTGACTTACCCAGTCACAATTACATGAACATCTGCAAGCGACAAGGCGTAAAACTGTGAATTTCTTGGAGATAGGTCGCAGTTGGAATGGTTCGAAAATGATGCCGAGAGAAAGTTTGCCGAATTACGTAGTGTTTGAATATTAATCCGAGCAAGATATCCAGTAGGGTGCAAAAAAAATAACAACTGTTTAAATTGTTCTAAATTTATAAACATTATATAACATTAAAAGCTTGAAAACAACAGATTCTATTAATGTAGCTTTTTTTCATTGCTTTTTTCAATACTGCAATAATTTACATAGTGCTGTTCCATTGAACATAGTAAAGTAATTAAAAGGTTATCGAGAATATTATCCCACTTTTCAACCATAATTACGAGTTTTTGAACTTTTAGTTCCATTACGCTTTTTTGGGATTCCAGCATATTTTTGAGTGGAATTCGTGCAAAAGTGTTGCATAATTTCCTGCTTTAGAAATGTTCTTGCTTAGATCGAGCCATTTTGAATAACTCTCTCAAAGTTGGCAAAGATTAAACTTACATTACGTAAAATTAATAATACTAGAGACAAGTTTTTGTTTGTATTTTACATGAGGTTAGTACATCCAAAATTAGGAAAGTTATCCATACATAAACTATAGAAAAAATGCTGTAAATTACTTTTTTTTTGCAGATAACTGTATTTGAATATTTCGGCTAAAAACAATAAAATGGTTTTCAAACCGTTGACTGGCGGTTATGCGTGGTAATAAGAGGTTGTTTTTTTCATTACTGAGATTCGCAATACGCTTCTTGCCAGAAAACATATCTGGGACTAGTCGCACTTGGGATTAACCAAACTTACCCTGACCTCAATATTGCACCAAGAACAGTTTCTGTAATCTCGGCTATCGCGTTTGTGTACCAGTTTAAGTATCAATGTTAACAGCTAGTGCAAAGGATTATAGCGCAAAGTCTCATCTTAATAAAATTGGCAAAAAGTTGTCTTTTCTAATTATTTCGCAATACTACTTTAGTAAAATATAAGAAAACATGAATGGGGAGCTTTATCGGAAAATTTTAACAGAAAATCTTTTTGCTTCAAACGTATTGGGGCATGATAGAACATGGTTACGGAATTTGGTTTTTCAATTAAAATAGGCATGAGTTATATATTGTGAGTTGAACTGAATATGTATAAGCTTTTTTTACTGGAGAGATAAAGTTTACTCGCAGTTTTTTTGTCTGAGAATTTATATCGTCAATTGTTTTAATAACAAAGATGTCTTGTTCTGTAGTGTAAGTTAGGCTGACAATAAACGAAAAATCCAAAACAAGAAAACAACAAAAATTCAAAACAAGAAAACAACAAAAAAACAAATACAAACTTCTCTTGCGTGTACTGTATCTAATTAAAAATAGTGTTTGTACGTATTAGTATAATACGTTCATACAACAATGTGTTTTTCTTTATACTAGCCGCATTGCCAAACATTCGTGGGGTTCACTGTACAATTAAAATATACGTTATACGTTATCGTAAATATCTATACAAATTAAAAAAAAAATACTACGTATCTCCACATCTTCAAGAGATAATCATTCTAATACTCTCGGTACTATATGTTCGATTCCGTGTCTATGCTGTAATATTATTAAATTATATACGTTTTTTTTTTGACAAATACCATCTCCCCAAAGCAAAAGCGAATGCTTAATCGGAGTGTAAAGAATATACTTTTTCCATTCTAACTATCCCCTCCCCCACTTCCCTCGGTACGAGTTATTGTGGTACATTCTATTTCTTGATTTGCTTGGCTAGTGATTGAATTATCTCCAGTTTCCTCAAAGGCAGCGTATGTTTTCGGAAGGCAGCGGCCTATTGTCGAATCATGAAGAACAAATATTACTATACTCGCAGCTATGGCGGTTGCTATGTTTTGTGTTGACTGTTTTTTGAAAGGAAAAAAAAGAGATTTAGTATTAGTAATTCAAGTTTATGTAACCCGATTTTAACGTGTGTAACTCAAATCTACCTGTGATACCCAGAAGTTTTTTGGCGTTATCGGCAAGAACGACAGTGTAGATGCGCATATGTTAAAAACTATCGCAATTACCAGCAATACCATCAACGCCAACATCTATAAAAAAATTCAATTAATACTTGGAATGACTTGTACTATGAAAAGAGTTCCAGCTCGGTTAACTGACCTTTTTAGCCGTCTTTGTTCTCAATTTTTGTTTGGCACTACTACTGACTTTTTTCTTCAACGCGGTAACCATAAACATTCCGAATATTATAAACTCCACAGTCAATATAATTAGACACACACAATCTACCAGAAAAGCCATCTTCACTGCTGGCATCGCCCATGGAAGGTTTTCGTGCGAATAAGAGACCATGCGCACGACGAATGCCGTCGTAAAACAGAAAACACACAAGTAGAGAAGATAGGTGTATACTAGCGATAATTTACGAGAGAGTAATGTGTGGTGATTATGTTTTTGACACATGATTTCGGCGGCTGTCTTCCATATCATTTCAACAACAATGAATATGATTAACAACATTAAATTTTTGAAGCAGATCATGAAAGCATAACCGATCAATGGTATGCGGGCTTCATGTATGCTACCGGGACTCACTTCAAGAATTATTGCTGAGGCTAAAGATTGTAGTAGGGAGAAGGAATTGTGAATACTTGACATTATGGCTGGCAAGATACTTTTAAATATTTTTATCAGTTATACTTACAGATACAAACAATCATAATGCCGGGATAGATCCAGTACTTTGGATTTGTTATCACAAAGCCTATTCGACCATAAGTCTTTACCAGACAATACAGACAAAACGTGGTGATGGCAAAATATCCAACACCCATACCCAACGACCATACTATCCATGAAGTACTCTGAACAAGGCGAACCCATGGCCCAGAATCTGGTTAAAAGGAATCGGATTAACAAAAATCGCTATAGTATTCGTTTTAATATATTGGATTTTATGCATACCTGAAGTAATCTCGCCCGTATATATTATACTTCCCAATCCTCTGATTCCAGTCATATCATCTTGACTGACAAGACTAATCGATGGGATAGAATTAGAGAGAATTTTTCTGTTTCCAGCATAAATCTCGTCTAATCCGGGTACGCCACCATTACCAGAAGTTATTACGAGAATTTTTTGCGCCATATTATATATGTCGCGTTTTTCCTTCAAGGGCGGTTTGAGTGCTGGCAACCCTACAGATAGACTCGGTACAAGTGTAGTCAAACCGGCTACCGCAGTCGGTAAGACTGTGCTCTGAACGTCAGTAACCACTCCTCCAACAACAGTAGTAACCCCTCCAACAACAGAAGTAACCCCTCCAACAACAGTAGTAATCCCTCCAACAACAGAAGTAACCCCTCCAACGACAGTAGTAATCCCTCCAATGGCAGAGTTCACGCCTCCAACCGCGCTATTAACCGCTCCTGTAACAGGACTCACTATTGATGGAACGGCGTTGGTAGGCACTACACCCGCTGCCGTTGGCGTAGGTTGTAAAGTTGGCGCGCCTGGAACAGTTGTGGTAGGCTTCGATCCAGGTGCAAAAGTCGAAGTGATGGTGACAGTAGATATCTTTGTGTTAGTAGTCACCTGCCCATCAGGACCGGTTACTGTCTCGTACGAAGTCTCGGTAGAGAGCAACTCTGCAACTGCAGGTGGCGTATCAGTTTGGCCACCAGTATCGGGATTTTCACCGTCTTCTTTATACCACCCGTTCTCCTTTAAAATATCAGAATAACTTCTACATCCTCGGCTAAAGGCTATTTCGAATGGCACAACAAGTATATCTACATCATCCGGTAACGGATCTATTTGACAAGGGTTTTCTGTTGTATTATTCACAAACGATACTATTGCTATTCGACCTTTAATTGTTCCATAGTTAATTGAGTTTGCAAGCACGAAATCTACATTTGAAAATGTTCCGAGTACGGCTTGCGATTCGGAATAAATGATGAGCGTGGAAAGCACTCGTGTGGGAATAAAGAGAAGAGTTGGAATTAATTTTAAGAGTAGGAAAGTGAAGGAACGGAATGTTAATGGTGAGGATACGGGCATTGTTAATTGGTAACGGATTTAAAAGATAAAAGTCAAAGTGCGGGAGGGGCCCGCGTGACGTGTGTTAGTGACAATGTCTAGTAGACAATGCCCGCACAGTGGATGGTTGAGTATATACGTTTGCAGCCAAAAGAAAGTTAATAAAAAAGCGTACAAAAATATCCAACTATAAGCTACTGTGGTTTGTATGCATTATTGGTGGAGTATTAGTAAATCAACTGAAAACGGATTAGCCGCCAAAAGAATGAAAGTACTGCCTTTCCTGCTGCTGCAAGCTCGAATGATTGGAATTCAAAAATTGGTGGATCATGGCTAACTTTATATTCTGTCAATTAACTATTCCTACGCCGATTGTCCTATCATCGATCGGTATTAGCAAATATTACGTGCATATTAAAACCCTTTGTACTACACGCCAAAATGCACATGGGGTTATTGAATACACTTTTTATAGAAATGATGTGATTAACAGATTGAGGAAACTGGGTAATATTGTAACAACCCGCTCCAATACAGCTGATGGAAAAATAGTTTTTACAGTGAAGGTGACTCTAGAGACATGGTTTCTAAACATCACAACATGTGTGTTTCCATTACATAAACAAATGCTAACAATTTGTCTTTCGCTATCGAGCCTGTCAGCTTTCCCAGTGTCCAACTAGTAACCAATGGGTAACTACCCGAGGTATAATTATAAGGTTGGTTAATAACGCACCAACTTTGGATAACAATGTCTCAACAACAAATAAACACTTTATTACTTTTATGTACAAAAAATACGTATTCTAATCATACCAACATGCTACAAAGCTCAAAACAACAAGAAAGGGTGCAACCATAACAATAAGCCCCTCTCTCCCTGCAAACCATTCTACAACATAAACTGCTGCACAAGAACAGCAAAAACTGGCACCATAACAGACCCGATCCCTAGTGACACAGCAATTGACGCTGACGATCCTGTCGTGCCAGAAGATGAACTGGAAGAGACGGAAGGTGCAGCAGCCTTTGTCGTAGTGGTGGATGAAGAGCTAACGCCGTTAGTAGAAACAGCAGCAGGTGTTGCGGAAGTTGTGGCACTGCCCGTATTGGTGCCGGTAGTAGTAGTTCCAGTACCGGTGCCGGTAGTAGGATAAGTGTCGGTGCCGGTACCCGTGGTAGCGCCAGTATTAGTGCCAGTAGGATAAGTGTCGGTGCCGGTGCCCGTGGTAGCGCCAGTATTAGTGCCGGCAACGCTGGTAGGGCTAGTAGCGCCGGTATCAGTGCCGGTACCCGTGGTAGCGCCAGTATTAGTGCCGGCAACGCTGGTAGGGCTAGTAGCGCCGGTATCAGTGCCAGTAACGCCGGTAGGGTTAGTAGTGCCGGTACCAGTACCCGTGGTAGCGCCAGTATCAGTGCCGGTAACGCCGGTAGGGTTAGTAGTGCCACCCGTGGCAGCGCCGCTGTTGGAAGAAGAACCACTTTCACCGCCACCACCTTGACGACGGTCAAAGAGTGGTAGAGGTTCCGCAGAAACATTTAGAGTTGACGAGTACGACAGAAGGAGAATTGTTGCGCAGAAAAGAATAGCAATGTATTTCAATTTGCGTGACATCTTGGCTGTACAATATAAAATACGTGGTTTGGGTTTTTTTGATTGGGGGGAATCGAAATTGCGTTATTGCTAAGAATTCGATAATTTGTAACAGTTGCTGGAAAATATAACCAGATGTTCTTGTGATAAAGAATGTGAGCGTTCAATCGCAGTGCTTCGCTTTTTATACAAAAACTGCGAACTGTTCTTTGTATGTCCCGATTCTACGTGTAAACCTGTTATGCGATGCACGGGTTACCATTCCGATTAAACTTAAAAATCAATATAGTAATGGTGATCATTACAATCCTTGGCAAAAGAGGGGGTAAAAATAAAAAAATGTGCCGTGGCTCAAAATTGCTATTTTGATCTTTGAGTTCAAAACTTGCAAGCCTCCTTTTGTATCAGAATGGAAATAAATGTTCTTGTGCATGATGTGATGCATCTATGCCAAGCAAATGGTTGGGGTTAACGCAACGTTATCATTGTTAATGATTATCAAAATCCTAGTGATTGTGTAACGACAACGTAAACAGGATAGTAATAATAGTAACTTTATTTATGCCAATAATAGCCTGACTATATTTATGCCAATAATAATAGTAGCATATCAGGTTGTGTGACATCTCGTAGTTGAAATACTCGTTATTATTATCTGCTATTAAACATGTAAAAAATCTTTTAAATTTCTACTGTCTGTATTTCGCCATGTAAGTAATTTTTCGAAATGGGAATTTACATCAATTGGCCGCCGTGAATATGAAGCAATCCACGTTACCCATAAATCTTTAAACGTCGAAACATGCCGTCAAAAATGATACGTCAAAAAATAAAATTTACCAAAGTATCACGATCGGGTAAAGTCATATCCTATGGCAGATAAAGCTCTATAGCCATCATGGTCGGATGTAATGTAATTTTATGGGGATCTACGTGATTCAATTGACTATTACACATCCATGTTACGTAAAAGACAAAAGCAAGCTTCCATCGTCTAGAACAGGATAAAATACTACTCAATGTGGTTAAAATGTTGCGGAAATCGAACCCGATTGGTAAAAGAAATAACGGATCTAGACAATAACTGACTGGAATCAACCATGTGTATTGAACATCACTGCGTCAAGCCTATTCGGATCGGATATTCTTTTAGCATGTGTGTTTGAGACCATCAAGAATCGTTCATATAGCCAAGACGTATCCCAAGACTGATTTTTTCATGGTATGTACAACTAATATAATGTATTATTTTGTTTGGTTTGTTTGATTGCAGAATGCGGGTTGGTTGTGCTTTTGTTTGTTATTTGACGCAATCAGGAGATGATGTGGTGGAATCTTGACACAATATGAAAAAAATTGATATGATAGGGCGTGCGATATGAGAAGGTACCAAATAATCCAATCAAGAATAAACCATCCAATTTCTCCGAAAGAGAAAACAAGTAATGTTTTAATGCGGACTATATAGTTGTACTCATTCATGACATCAAACAGTCTATTAATAATCATTCATACAATAAAGAACGTCAGCGACAAGCTCGTTTCGCGATATTTAGAGCACGCAACTTTGCTCTAAATTTAGGTCACCCAAACAGGGTCATTGCAAATGCGACTATTAGACGGTCTGCATCACTTGGCACATATTGAAAATGTTAATCAGACAGCTATTGGTCGAAATAGTTTTGATAGTTAAAGGATAACGCCAAGATGCAACATTTATGCATGTAATGTTTTTAAAAAAGATGTGTCGAGACTCTTGCGTTATTAAATTTTTTTCTTCACAGCGACGATTAGGTGCATTTGTATTGTTAGTAATTGAAGATTGTGTGTAACATCGGGAAAGAAACTGAATCTGTTGACTTGAGAACTCGTTCGTTTTTGTATAATGATATGTATTGCACTAAAAATACAAGCAGATTTATTAAATAATAACCAGCAGCTTTTCCCTACTAAACAAAGAAGCAAGATAATTTCTTCCAGATGCCACTCGCACCTATTAAAACAAAACGTAAACTTGCCAAGTCTTTTCTTGGAAGCGACACCTTCCACAATGCAAAAAAATTCATTGTCTTTTGTGAATGTATTTATCCAAATCGGTTTTTATATTCCCGGATACAAAATGTTGCGCTACTTTGTGTGAGTGTAGTTTAGGGACACTTACATTATGAGAAATCGGTTTCTTAGTTACGCGCCCAAAGATTTATTTCACGCCTATGAATAAAGAATTACCAGATTAATTTTGCTCTTTAATTGAATTATTTGACTAATTAGGTACTTAACTCCCAATTTTATACCGTGAACCAATATATCAAATATGGTTCTATAACCAATACGGGTTTCAACAATATAAACACAATTAAAAATATAATAAATTCTTTCTCGCTTCTCGGATACCCCTTTTCCTAATACTAACCAATCCGGGTATTGACGAATTTAGTTTTCTAATTATAATTGCTACGACTGCTATTGTTGGTAGTCACACGAGGTTGAATTATGTAACTTTATATTAATATGGAGCGTGCTCTTTATTTTACTTTGGTAAGATACGACAAACATGTGTAGTATCTCGTTTTGCAACGCCCTTTTAAGGCAAGGTGTTGTGATTGTTTATACTGAGCCTTTTCTAATTTGCATATACTGTGCAACAGTCATCTTCCCATTGACTTTAAAAGTTATGAGAAAGTTTGAATCAGTAGTAGTGGCATTAACCGCTTTGAGATGTATGTCGCAAATTTAATTTACTGCGTACTAAATTAGCTAGCCTTCATACTCTTGTCAGCATTGTGTCAACTCGTCCGGTACACTCAATCCCAGAACTTTGTGGTCATGACTTTGAGCGTTGACTCTCAAGAAAACACTGCGCATCAGCAGTACGGTTCGACATCATCTTCTCAAATAAAATCGTGTCGTCATGTAATGATTGTATATATGGAAGCCGACGCCGAAATGTAAATATATAGTTGATTTCGGAGAAACTGTCCATTTGAGGGGATGCCGACGACCGTAATAGCAACAAAATTGTTATTTTTTCTTTTTAGAACATTATCGTCTTGTAGCATAATGTGAAATAAGTGCCTTTGTGTTGCGTTTCATTTTTACGTCCAACAGTTGCCTACTTGCTATTTTACCCAAAGTGATATTAGTTCCCCAATGGGATATCAAAGTAATGAACTTTGCGCGCATATATACTGAGTTTTAACATTTCCATTACAGTGCTGAAATGATCTTACATTTAAATTATGAAATTTATTAAATGCTGTGAATCAACATGTAACAGATGCAATCAATACAGAATATTTGAAAGTCGCGATACAAACCAAATGCTAAATGTTCATATATATATATACACGTATTTACCATGTTACTAACGCGGTCAGCGTAAACCCAAACAAACAACCGAATTACAAGAGTGTTACGTGAACGTATAATTCAGAATAACCAGATTAGAATAAGTAAATGTATAGATGATATAGAAAGACTCCAGTTCTTTAAAAACTGTCACAAAACTACAAAACCCAGCCAATTTACAAAATTGCCAACACACTACTCACGCAGCAAAACTACATGGAAACGTTTGTTTCTCTCTCTCTCTCTCTTTTGTTTTTACCTTACAGTCCCCTCTTTATATTTCTTTCTTGTTTACTCCTGTTGGGATGTCATATCCAAGATCCCAGATAATCCTGCTTCTCCTCAAAACTCATCTCCCGAGCTACTTCACTACTAGGAGACTCCTCAACTGCCTGCTCCAGCTCTGGGACAAACAGTGGTTCGACATGTTCCGTTTCCGCTTCTTCTTCCTGCTCTTTCACTTTTATCAGTTTTCTTTCTTCTGCCAACAGTAAAGACTTGCGCGTGATGTTGACCTCGAAACTTAATTCGGTCTCGGATAATTGTCCTACTTCGTCTTCCGAGATGGGATCTTCATCCTCAGCCGAGACAGCCTCAACGATCGGGGAAAGAGCGACCTTCAACGGAGGCGGAGTGAAGAGTTCTCCGTCACGAGAGGAGGATTCGGACGAGGAATCGAGTTGGAAAGGAGGAGAAGCATCGGTGTTATCGTCGTCGAGGGCGAGCGGCGAAATCGGACTCTCGGCATCGAGACGGGATGAACATTCGCTGAGTGAGATTGATGCAGTTGACGTCGAATTACAGCCGGTGTCGATGCGTGGAGCAGCATATTCGCGGAAGGATAGCTTTTCGCTGAATATTCTTACATCTCCGCCAGTCGGCGCGTGGCTGATGTTATCCAAACTTCCTACACGTGATTGAACGTTCTTAAACTTGACGCGATCGTGAAATATGGCTTTATCACCGCCCTGCGGAACATGATCAATGTAATCAAATGAACCGATTCTTGATGATACGTTTGAGAAATCGATCTTGGCGTCCACTATCTTCTTATCACCTCCCTTTGGCGTATGTTTAATATTCTTTAATGAACCAATTCTAGCAGAGACGTTCGAATAATCGAGCTTGGTCGATACTAGTTTTTTATCACCACCCTTTGGCACATGATTGATATTATTTAAGGAACCAATTCTCGACGATACGTTTGAATAATCGATCTTGACGTCGACTATCTTCTTCCCACCACCCTTTGGCACATGATTGATATTCTTTAACGAACCAATTCTAGAGGAGACATTCGAATAATCGATCTTGGCGTCAACTATCTTCTTATCACCTCCCTTTGGATTATGCTTTACATTGTTCAACGAACCAATACGTGATTTCACAGTAGAATAGTCCGGCTTTTCTGAATAAACCTTCTTTCCGCTAGTTTTTGGTACATGTTTGATGTTGTCGAGTGAACCGACACGAGATTTTACGTTTGAATAGCTAGTTTTGGAGGTGCTGGTACTTCTAGATTGGGTGCTAGAAGAAGATACAGATTCCTGGTCCGAGTTTGCTCCAGACGGACTAATTGGTGATATGTTCCGGGTGATTTTTGGTCGAACTAGTCGACTACTGGTGGTGGTAATGGTAGGCTTGGATGACGTCGGCGTGGATGCGGGAGGAGGGGACTTTGTAGGCGTGCTTGTCGGCGTCACTTGTCTAACGGGTGGTTGCTCATTATATTCAGTTTTCGCCTGTCTTGCGACGGTTCTAGTAGACGCAAGTGTATTAGTCGTGGTAGGTTTGGTAAAGCGGGCGGGTGGTTTTAGTTTTGAGGTTAGGGAATGATTTTGTCTTAATGCAGGCAATTGAGAGCTGTATGGTTTTCCAACTGTGGCCATTTTGGATTAGTTTCTTTAATACTATGGGGGGGGAATGATATTATATGAGCACTTGGTAACATTGAACGTGTTGAGGGGTAGTGTGAGAAAAGAACATTTGCGGCGGATATCAGTCACCACATTGGCCATACCTTTTAATAACTTGGATGAGTTTACTCTTAATTCTTCGGGATAGGGAGTTCTACAGCTGCTGTGTAATTTTATGTTGTGTGCTGTTAGAATATTAGAGTTGGTTTTCTTTACTTTTAAATAATATATATATCATCTCTGCACCGCGTTGACTTTTGTTAATATATCGGGTCATTGACCACATCCCCTTGTTTGATTTCCTCATAAGCTTTAGTTACCTTATTGTTTTTTCCTATTCAAACATAATTTTGTATTGTTCCTTTGCAAGCGAAAGTTGAAACAAGAAGAAAAGGAGCCAGCCGAGAAAATCTCAGAATTCTGTGTTTATAGAGTGAGACAGATGTAATTGATATTCGGATCCAGTTTCTTTATATGGGATTGTATACTTTGTGATAAAGAGTATTGAAATCATGCGTCGATGGCAGAAAAAGTCATTGTAACTCGTTATGTAACAGATGTGTAATATGAATATCTACAAACCACGTTAATCAATTGGTGATAATTAAGGTAAACACAAATAAATAACTGACCAATAACAACTATTATAAAACGATACGTTATCTTAATGCTAATAAAGAATTGTAACACAAGTTTGTAACAAATACTATATTAATTATTATTATAAAAGGTAAAACCCCCCTACATACATCCCTCAAGTGGAAACTGCTGGTATTCCCGCCTTCAACTTGTAATCTTTGGAATAAAGGCGGGGTGGGGGAAGGAGGTGGATGGAACTGACTGTGCGCCATAATCGACATGCAGGATGATAATCAAATGTGTCTGTTGTGATATTATTATAGTTATTGTCTTTCGCTGTTTCGGCATGTCCACTGTGCCACTTACGATTTTTCGGGGAGGGGCAGGTGGAGAGGAGAGCGGAGAAAGGAGAGAGAGGAATTCAAAAACTGATGAATGCCAAAATATATCACCCCCTTTTTTTTTACATTAACAAACCGCAATTATTTGTGCTCGCTTCTGTTACTATTATCTTTCATTACCATTGTCATCATTAACATTGTATTCATCGTTATCTTAGTAATAACGCTAAACAATGGTAAATAAGATTATTAATATTAATATGTGATAATAATAATATAAAATTACTGCGGGGTGATTCAATATCCTAATACTAATATGCACGATTACCATTATTTGCAGCTAAGCTAATTTGAATGGTCACCGATTTGGTAACACGAAGAGTATTTATACTTCAGGGGGTGTGTAGACATCACAACGAGGATATCACTTATTATTCACTTTATCAATATAACATGACAACATCTCTTTCTGTAGAAATTTTTTCGTTTTTGATAGACTCTTTGTACGCGGTTAAGTCGGAATAGACTTTTTTTTTAGTAATTACGCTACAAATATTTCCATGAATTGCTAACGAGTTTATAAGAATTGTCTTAAATTGGTTATCCATTTTTATCTATTCAGTATGAATCAGTCCTAGATTTTCATGAAGAATATGTGAAAATGACAACTTAAAAATATAGTCTATTGAAACTAGAACTTTAAATAGACTAGCCAAAAATTTCAAGTCATGCTATCGATTGTGATCCCCTTTTTTATAACAAACTCTGACGTTACCGATCTTGGATAGATAATTCAATTCCTATTTCTTGCACTAAACGCAGACTGGGTAAAATAGTTGCATTTGTTATGACATATGCGGATAGTATTTAATTTATCTGAATCGGACGTTAATATACGTAACGACTCTTATATGAGAAATAATTCTGTAGAACGCTTAGGTTTACATTTACAAATAATATAATGTTACATGTAGTTGGTTATACAATCTTGAGTACAGATTATATAAGAGAAGACATTTATAATCCGGGTTTCCCGGTGTGATCGTTTATAGAGATTCAATTGTACTTTTTAATTTTATCGAAACTATGCCAAATAAGAATATGCCTATTCGAGCGTCAATATGATTTTGTAAAGCTTTAGAAACAGACGATACATAAACCTCTCCATACTCAATTTTTTACTAAACTTCAAGCTTACCACCTTTTGGTCAGATGGTTGTAAATGTTTTGTGGAAATGCTGACGTTGCCCAGTCCAAATTTAGTATTGGATTCGAGATAGATTCACTCGCTGAAATTTCACTGTGCCGTATATCGTTCGTCTCATTGTGGATTCTGTAATCCGTATTTATTGATAGGGATGATAACACAGAACGCCATGGTCTGGTGACGCTGCTTCAAGTAGGACAAAATGATAAATTCTGGTTTGTTTCTTGTTTTCTTTATTAAAATTTTCACATTAGAACTTTGTGTATCGTTGGTCTATTACAACGGACGAGCCGTTCAAAAAATAATCAATCTTAACTTTTACCAATGTTTTTTCCAACGTTCATACGCATTCAGTTAGTCGTATATATTGTTTGTATGCATTGTCTCAATCAGACATTAATTGATCTATCTGTAATAATAAGGAAGCCGAAATGCTAAATTTACTGCTCGAGTACTATACGCGTGTCTGCATAATTGCGTAGCGTACGTTAGCTTACCGATATAGTCAAGCAACAAGTTTGGTTTATTCCGATTTCGATGTTTACTTTAGCACTGCGAACACAAAGTTTTTTTGACAAAGGGAAGAAAAGCCCTCGTTATCAAAAGTATTTCCGATTACGTGTAACAATTTGATGTGCAACGTGTCCCTAACTGACTGCGGCGAATAAAGTAGATACACGTAAACTAGCACAATAATGACAAAGACCTGTTAAATTGTGACGTACGAGTCCACAACTAACAACATCAATTTTATGCTATCCCGATTTATACCTCATCGCATACACACTTGCGCAAAATATTATCGTTTACATGATAAGCTGACATCATAATATAAAAGTAGATATTCTGTTCAAATATATATAGTACTCTTTAATTATTTTCCATATTGTCACCCACACGAAACGCAAAAATTTATGCGATTAATTGTTTTGTTTGCTACATTTTTCGAAAATACTGTACCGTAAACATGTTTTTGAATTCGTTCGACGAAGAAAGTGACTGCTTACCGCACTGGTATCACAGATCGAGTTTTAATTGCTAACGGCACAGCTAATCCAAACTATTCGGAGACGCATGGCTCTAATTAATATTAACAATGCCTTTCTGTCAAACTTGGTTACCTTATTTTATTTTTCTCCATATACCTATATACATGTTTCATGTTTCCAACAAAAAAAAACACACTATAAACCCGTCCTATTTGCTCAATAATTTTACATATACGTACGTATTACCGCTATAGAATCTGCTTATCAGCCAATGTTTGGCATTTCAATACATTTACAAATCGCATTTATCATAAAATAATATATTAAAACGTCGTTACCTCGACCTTAATCTAGTGCGTTACTATATTAATTTTGCAAATAGTTTGATTAATAAATAACGTAAACATTTGCAACAATTTCCCCTGTCAAACACGTAATTTAGCATGTACAGTATCTTCTATCAAGAATTATTTGAAACACCACAAATTCATTCGCTGATAGCATTAATATCAGGCAATGAGTTTTGTTGACAAAAATACTGTAATCCAGACTAAAATTAACGCGCTGAAAACCCGAGAATTAATTTATTGATTTGTCTTATTCTTAAGGTAAAAATTCTCTAACTTATTGGATGTTTGTTATTGGTTGCCGAGAAAGAAAACTCTCTATTATTTTTAGTATACAGTACTTTACAATCAAACAGCAAATTATCCGTCTTTGTTTATACAATAAATAATATTTTGAGAAGTAATAAGTAAGCTTTCGGATAATATAACGTAACGTCTTCAATTCTGCCAAGAACAATATGAGTGCTGCGTTGCACGTTGAGTATAAAGTTGACGTTATTAATTATTTTGTTTAGCACAATAACAAGCGCTTTTATCAATGCAAGTTCGTGGGTGAAATGGTTTTCACTATTACTTATTGTGATACTATTCCAGGAAAGAAAAATCACGTGTTATACTGCTACAGCTCATGCATGTGGGTATTGTAATATTGTATATGCTCAATTCTTTTCTCTTTAACAAGCTACCACATTGCATAATTTTGTGAATGTTAGTAGAAAAGTAGTATAAACTTATTACTGATTCCATAACCTCGTTCTCAATATGTACTATATGATGTATGTAATCATAATCATCCTTCTGTCTCATATCTTCCTTATACTTATTGAACAGATCCGAGCTGGGCTCAAAATCTTCATCAGGAAAAGGGTTGATGTTTCCAATTTTTTTAACATTACATAATTGTATTATAGTAATAGCTCCGTGGATCCTATCAATTTGCCACTTTTCACACCTCCCCTTGCATTGAGATAGAATCACAATGTGGCACACTAATGAGATGATGAAACAGATAAGTAATTCCGTGGCATGTTGCTAGGATTGGAGACATGCTTTTGTTGTAGCATCAGGCACAGTCCAGTCAATCCTTAACAACAATGGAATTATAAGTTATTTCCACAAACTCCTCTTTCAAAAGCATGTCTGGCACAACTTCTGACGTTAAAGCATCCGAAATATACCACCAGGTTGCCTGCAAAAAAAAGTCACAAAAATTAATTATTGAGTAACCATAAACTGTGCTTATCGCTTACATGGCAGCTGGCCAGATCCATAAACCGCACTTCTAAGCCACTCCGATACTGAAGTCTCAAACTCCCAGACGTCAGGCTCAGATTCAGGCAGATCACTTTGTGTAGATGACATCATTGAGGTGGCGCGCAATCCCACTGGTAACATCCATGCTATAAAAGCAATTAATGTCATTAATGCCATCAACAAAGACGAATGTAATCAGCGGTAAATACGATCGGTATAATGACTAATGACTTTCTGGCAAAAGGCATAAGGGAGTTAGTAAAGCCGGAATGAATGGAAATGTATTCAAAGATCTCCGTTTATAGCTTTAGAACCGAATTTATTCATATCTGTGTCTAATCCAATTTCTGAATAAGGCAGGAGTGTTAATGTCAGTACCGGCAGGATACTGTGCGGAAACTGGTGCATACTTACCAGACATTTTGGACTTTAGATATTGATTAATATTTACTGCATCATTAAACTCATCAATATTTAAGGATATCCCATATGAAAAAACTTGTTCGATTTTATTAACGTAATTATCCGGTGGCTCCTGCCCTGTATATTGCGGGTTTGGGGCGAGATCTGGTGCTGATATTATCGTAACATCAGATAAAGCTGCCATGTTTTGATTATAAGGCGGTATATTATTCCGTAAATCAAATTCTCCGGTTTAAAAAATTAATTTGGTCTTCCAACTCCAAATTAGCATCACGAACTAATTTTGAAATAGCACGTGGTTGGGCTTTATTTTTGTACCTATTGCAAAGAATTTTGAGAGCAAAAAATTTCAGATAATAATCGGGTTTTATTATTTTCAGAATTTACTTTCCAGAAAACCTTTTCATTTCTATAATCTTCTTCACACACGCGCCATGAATTTTACATATTTGCATTGTTCTCCACAATGCCCCGTTGTCGAGGGTAGCTTTATTCGCTCTTTCTATTCTTGTGCCAGCCGTTGATTTGGGTTGTAATTTGTATTTTGATGGTGATGAATTGTAGACGTAGTGGTATTGCACAGATCCTGGAGTTACCTTTCTAAAATATGTTTTTCATCTCGAGATTAATTGTAATGTTATTCAAAGCCCGCCTAACTGTATTTCCTAGTGTTGTGGTGGGAAAGTGTTGTAGATTATTGATAAAGACTTTCAATCGATGCAAGGGTTGTGTCATCGCCCGTACAGCGAAGACATTTCTAGAGATATTTTTTGTCACACGCTAATTTGCTGATTTTTTTCTTAAGGCTGGATATATTTTTTTCATATTCAGAAAATTGACTATTCTTCTTATCAATAACCACCTCCAATCTGAGTTGTTTTTTGTAAATTTGATATTTGGATTTTTAAATTATCGATTTCATTCTCTTGATCAGTTATTGTAATATTCCGACGAATTAACTCTCTCTTGCATTTTCCAATTCTCGCATAAGTTTACGAATTTTTTTTCATTCGTACGATTTATATCTACCTCATGATTTAACTTCTATATTAATATGTTTTTAACTTACCAAAAATGCTCAATAACAATGTTAATGGGAAGGGAATTAAAAAATTTGAGTTTAAGATTTAGAAAGGTCACCAGCCACACCCATCCTCACTTTCGTCGCCCGCTTCATAAACTTTTTCATCTTCTTATCTTGGCGATCGGATGTTTACCTGAAAAACAGATTTTGCGCGACTTTTTATTTTCTGCATTTTATATAAATTCAGAACAGATTACTGTGTGCTTGCTACTACAAATATAAATAATAGTGGAACACGATGATACTGGTAAATGTTATGCTGACGATTTTGTGACCACATATTTCAAGAAGTATGTAGATATTGATATGAAATGGAAGTTGCAAATCGATTGGAGATGTGTTTATGTCGAAGACGTGTAGCTTTGGAGACATCCGATCGAACTGAAATTTTACAAGGTGACAACACTAGGCAGGAAAATTCTCAAAGCGTTTATTTGTTCCCTGATACGTCTATTCAAAAAGAGTTTGGGTCTCTGAATGGGCAGTAATTAACATTGTAAATTGACCTCGTTTGTAACCATACCTGCAGTTGATTCTCAGTTTTCCTGTACTCCTCGAGGCGTGATAGCGGTACTAGAACATTACTGGAATAGGTGTATTCCATGCGTTATTGACAGAATTAACTTCACCCTTAATATTAGATAAGGCGTAAATAAGTGTCGATTAGAATGCAGATCCTCATGGTAAGAAAAACATAAATGTTACGCTATCTTTGCGCTACAACAAACTTTTTTGTCAATTTCATAGTCATAGCATATATCCACAGATATCAACCAAATAAGATGCGATGTTTCTCATATTATCAATTACATCTTTTATTTACTCATCATATATAATTACAATTGATAGTGAGACCATAACGAACTATCCATTGGCAAGTACAAAGGAATTCCATATTGACTGTATCGAACGAACACTTCAGCATTGAGCTTTAACGACTAGCACATTGTCGGCATAAATGACAGACATTCAATCACTAATGTGTATATTATTCTAGGCAAATTATATTTCAGACATCGAACTTCTTTTTTTACAAGCAACAAACGAACATTAATGATCAAGCACAGAGGCATAAAAAATGTCAAGGCTGAAATCCTCTTTGACCTTCATGATTAATCCCGATTTACTCTCTTTATTCCTTCATCCATCCCTTTTTCTCTTCCTATTCGTTTTTCTTTCTTTCACATACGCGCAATCTTCCCCACTTGGCCCACCCACAACTGACATTTCTTGGCGTGCTGGTCATTCCGCATGTCTTATATCGACTTGGATGGTCATCTTCGGCGGCGTAACTTCTCCATCCGTTGACATTTTTACGAATCCCGCCGCAACTAACGACGTCCAAGTTTTCGATATAGTATCCTTAAATTGGTATAAGCCTAGCATAACTGCCGCTGCCGGAAGCACAATACCTCTCCCACAAAAGTTCGTGCCCTGTGTCGGATTCTCAACTGGAGAAATGTTCGTCCTAATGGCAAATACAAACTATAATGCTGCAAACAATATCGCAGTTTTGGATTTAATGCAGCAAACTTGGCAAGAGATTACTACTGGTAAGTTTTGTTGGTGTTAGGGTTGAGAACAATGATGATGACCAGGAATAATTGGTCAGTTGATTCAATCTTACATACCATGAGAATGATATGTCTGGAAAGTCAGTTGGACTTAGTAACAGCGATGGATTCACTGTGCGTATGTTGTGATTGGGGATATGTGACTTGATCGTGTGCCCGCAAGTTTATTTGCGTCGATGCATTTGCTCATGTCGTTTAGCTCAAATTTATTTACACTGCTCACGATTATGTATATTGATACCGAGATGGTTGGGCATGACAATAGAGAAAGAAACTCGTTTTTTGGGCTTTTTGTAATAACTATGTGGGGAAGGAGATAAGGCCACATATACATTTGTCACAATTTATCTAGAATAACCCTTAATTGTTCTTTTTACTAGTATTCCCGCCGCTAGATTTCCCCATAGGTGTAACACTCACAGATGTAAATGATATTCTATATCGATACGCTGGACTTGCTGTTAATTTGCAAGGAAATCAAGCACAGGCTATTGAGGGTTTGCTGTATTCTTTGGTGAGTTTAATGAAGATGAATAGTTCGAGTGATGGGTTGATGCGTGGGATTATACATCAATAATGGTTGAGGAAGGCTGCGCGATTTGATCACATATTGAAAAAATTTTTTAATGCAGAGTAGGATATATATGCAATATCCATGAATATCAATCTTATTCATCATAATCTCATGTCATTCAGGACTCAAAAACTCTCGTTTGGACATCTCGTGCCAATGGCCCACCATTAGCATATCACACAGCTTGCTATTTATCAAAGTTCGACGTAATCGCCGTCTTTGGTGGCCAAGGCATCGATTTCCAGCCGCAAGATGTGCTCAGTACCTATTCCGTCTCACAAGGAATATGGAACCAAGTTGATCAGCCCGTGTCAAATAAGCCAAGGTATGTGGGATTATATAAGGATGGACATAAACTCATAGCATTGTGCAACTATTTATCCAAATGAAAATGTAAAAGAACGTGTTAATTTTATTTTTTTATTTCCTCGTTAGTGCTAGATTTGGACATACAGCAGTGTGCAAAGCAGATCAAATGATTATATTTGGTAATGCTTCAAAGTGTTAGCAAATGTCAATGTCCGTCCCTGCTTTACATATTCTAATGAGACATATTCGATAAAAATCTTCTTAATCTCCTCCCTTAAAATTCTCTTTGATAATTTTGCTCATAGGTGGTGGAAGTGTATCGTCGAATGGTATCGTGTTATCAGATGATTCATTATGGTTACTGATAGCAACATCAGCAACTAGCTTTACTTGGTCGCAACCGGTAACATATGGAACGAAGGGTCCAGCTGCTCGCTTGGGACACTCGGCAGTTCTTTTTGAAAACCGAATGCTTGTGTTTGGAGGAATAGGAGGAGATAACGATACAAGTGTATACGAACTAGATACAATTACGTGGACATGGTATTTATTGGCAACTAATGTGACAAACCCAAGCACACCAACTTCCATAGCCCCATCATCTTCCTCCTCAAACACCGCCATAACAGCCGGATCTATACCCGTATCTGCTGCCTCCCAAGGGTCAAAGACAATCGCAAGTGCACTTTTCGGAACTGCTGGTCTTTTATTTATTGCAGTTGTACTTTTTACGGCCTGTCATTATAGACGGAAAAACCGTAAACTTCGATCCGACAACGACGAAATGAGCAAAATAGACTCGGCTCTTGATGGCAACTCAAACGATACGTCTCTCCCACCTCGATCTCGAGAAGTCATCCTAACTTTACCAATAACGGCGTTGAGCGAATGAAGACACTGCATGGAATGTAATTTCTAAGCCACTGAAACACAATATGCTCTTCTATCAACAGATGTCACCCTAACCCAAGTCAAGGTGGGGATTCATATTAAAATAGGGAATATCGTTTATAATTGACCTGCAAATCATAGAGGACTAACACATTCTTCGAGTATCGTGATGGCATTGGAAATATGTTTGAATAACAAATCACGATACGTACGTAACTGAACTAGTTTTCAATAACCACCGCACTGTGTTTTTAAGGCGCTACGAGACGTCTGTACAGTCCTGTTGTTGATTAACGCGTATTTCTGGCGAAGGATCCCAGCCTCTCGATGTCATAAGTATCCTATCGCCCCTAATTCAGGACAGGCGCTTTGAAAATTTCTCCGCATATAGTGTGCGAGAAGTTAATTCGATCAGATGCCTCTAGCAAATTTTTCAAACATCAAATACTTTACTTTTAGATATATTACGGTTTCGGTCATAAAAAAATTCAAAAATTCATATCTCTACACTTTTCAGCCCAAATTCTGTGAATTTTTTTTTTACTTGTTCTTGTACACATCAAAGTCAGTTTATAAAGCTTATGTGACTCACTGCTACAGGTGCAAATGATGTTGTGACATGATGATGCTGATTAATAGCATGCTACCAAGTATAATAACGATCTTTTGTCTAATCCGACCACACATTTAAAGGGCGCGTTGAGACAAATCTGGCATACAAAACAAAAAAAAAAGACTATATAAATTGAGATATGCTACTATGTCTAAGATCGGGTGATATAATCAACAATAATGTTCTGACTTAAGCTCAAGGTGATGTCTCAGATATCGAACAAACAGCTGTCTGGTACAATTCGAACGATAAGGATATTGAGTTGACTATGTATTATTTTTTCTTGTTTTGTACAATCTTGTGAATCTATTCCTATAGATTTATTGATGTACAGTAGCCGTTCAACTGATAATCGTTAAACCGGACTTTACTGTATATTAAGTTAGCATGAATAGCTATCGCAAATGAAATTCGTGAGCATACGATGCGGTCCTATGTTTCTGAAATATTATTATAACTAACTCAACGAAACTACAATTGTAATCCGACAGTTGATAGTAATGTACAACGGTTAACCACGTAATTATTTTATTCTAATAAGAATAACTATTTGCTTGCCTTTCCTTTGACAATGAAATAATGAGTTAAATTATCGCTATTGTCTTAGTGAAAAAAAAACCAAACATATAATAAAAATATAAAATATATATTATATTTGAAAGCATTGGAAGAAACAACCCTTCTAACTATGTTACATTTTGATTGTTCCGGTGAAAAATATACAGTATTCATTAACCATACATTTTTTTTCGCGTGGATTGTAACTATCTAATAAACATGATCGAGTGCGGCTGGAAAATTTTAACGGTTTTTCATAAGCTTGGTAAGCATTGCTCTATGTGTGATTGATATATTAATTCACTTTTGATTTAAACAATGACGTGCCGCAACATGATCATTTTCAATAGCACTTTGCATTGATGACGTATCTTATTGTAGGTGACGGAAAATCCGACCTAATATTTCCGTGGTACTTGTATTACAGACGGTTTGCTTATCAGTTACATAATTTATTATTATTATGAATAATTAACATCTATTAACATCTAATACATATCTATTTATATGCATATCTTGCCATCGATATCTTTCTTTGCATAACGTAATACTTATACAAACACAATCAGGTGAAAACTAGGGTTTAAGTGTAGCAGGTTAGTGTTACAAGTTGGTCATCCTGGTAAACCGGATATTTAACTGGGCTAATCTAGTTTCAACTAAATTGTGACTAGGAGAAAAGATGTGTTAGGTTTTTGTTTGGAAAGACAATAAGCGAGTGTGTTGGACGAACATTTAAGATGCAGGAATTGAACACAACAAAGTGCAGGAAGAGGAGAGAAAAAGGAAAGTGCAATACGATTATATTGATATAGAGCATAATGGACAAGTTAAAGATCGTCGATATACTGATAAAGTGTCACAAATATTTCAGGGGGTTCATCTGGTTCAATTTACTATCACTATTCAAAACCCCCTACGTTCCATCCCAATTCAGGTAGGCTTATTGTCTAACACCAAACCCGTTAAAACCAATTGGTATTTTGGATTGTCGATGGAAGGATTATTATCTAATAATTAAATTATCGTTGTGACATATTTAATAATGCAAAGGTTTAATTAGATTATCTTGTGCTTCCATAACTCTTACTTGATTAAGTAGTAGTAATAATAGACAAACAACTCCGTCAATCAACAGACGACATCTCTATCTCGGGATATTGCGGACATGGTTGTTTGTAACGCAGTACATAATGCCGGCCACTTTGTAATGTCAAGAAGATTCTTACAAATCATATTGAGAAATTAACAGAAGTTAGCATACTAAATATAAGATTTTTAACCGAACATACATATTGCGTGCTGTGAAGGTATGATGTCTTCAACAATTATTGGAACTAAGGGTAAAGTAAATAGAATATACATCAGGCAGAGAGAATGTATTTGTTTTTTCACAAAATGTTCTCTATTTTATTTTATTTTTTTTTCAACCAGCAAATTGTTGTTTTGAAAGACATGGAAACGTGATTATGCAGTTGAGTACAGCATTCAATTGTAGCAAATTGGGGAGGATTTTTTATACTTAAAAGCTAATTAAACGGGCAAACGTATTCAAAACATTACCGTGCTTCTGGGTTAAAAAAAGTTATGCAAACCAACTAATTTGTATTGTAGAAAAATACTTGCTAGAAAATTATTTATTCTGATCCAATGATTACGACGAAATACGCATTTGTGAGTAGCGACGAGATGCGTTATTATGATTTGGCGACTACGCGTGCTTAGACTTAGTTATAAGTAGTTCTGGTGAAAGAATACAAACACAAAAGCCAGCCTATCATTTTAATAAAAATCCAATCTTTTATCCATGCAAGTTGGTTTGACCAGTGAAATGATCGTAGGTTATTTACAGTCAATATTAGGTGTAGTATATAAAATTGTTCAACAAGCCTGCGTTATGATAAGATTACGTTTTGGCAATTGACGTAAAAGTATTTGTGCAAGAATACGTGTGACTCATGTATTGTGCAATTGTGTATGCGTCTGCGTATTTTTTTATTCGAGACTTGAAAACATTGTATAGTTAATTTCGGATGATTTATAATTCTCGATGCATGACTAGCTCTAGAGAACCTAATGATGTCAAATGACGTTTAAGGTGATAAATTCTATCACCTAATTTGGTTATGTTTTGAACAAATCTTAATATTAACATATTTTTTATCTTATTGTTAGCATCGTATTATAAATTACAGACACACATAAAAAGTTTAAGGTGGTAGAATTTAACATAAACGACTTTTTTGTCTTTGCATTCTATTACGAGCATTCAACAAATAGCCTTGTGATAATGAGTAATACAAAACCCTGTCAATTAGTATTCTGACTTTGAAATTTAAGTAACCTGCGGTATCAGCAAACAACTGAAACTGGATTGCAGCATAATATTAGCAGCGCCAGTCTCGGCAAGACAGTGTGTTGACATTGATATTCAATGATGGATTATTCAATTTTACGTTCGCATTTGCGCAGCAGTGGAAATATTTTCTGCGGTAAATAGATAAATGCAATCAATGATACTCCAAGTATTGGTATTTATTGATAGAATATAATGGGTGAGGTTTTGACCAAAAATGTAACAAGCAACCGCTTATGTCGCATCTTGCCAAAAATATAAAACCAATGAGGATGCTATTTGCAGATGTTATTGTCCAAACCAACATGCATAGATGACGTATTATTAGATGCACTAAGTTATTATTATAATTATTTATGGCATGCCTATAGATAACGGCTTCATATGCATTTGTGTTTCTTGAATAAATTTTTCAGAGCCTTTTCGGTTAACAATTGTACGTAATTCATGTGAGTAACGCATATTGATATAGCCAACATTTTTAGCACAGTCGATAATGTTTAGTTTAATAACATTGATGATAGGCTATGCACGTGCACGATACTTGGTCGCAATACAGCCTAACCGCAATCGAATTTAGATTGGCCTTTTCTCACCCAACCGTTTATGCATACTCACGTGAAAAACGCACATTATCCATGTAATCTTTGAGAACGCGGGCAAAAAAGAAGCACGCTACCGCAATTTATTTCGCTTTCTGGGTTAAATTAGATGACGTAAGAAATTTGTGATTGTGTTTTAGCCAGAGTTGGCATAGTCGAAAAATCGTTACTTTGTACACCATCTGTTTCCATACAGTTTTTATTTGCGCCCAAATTTCTCACCAACGGGGAGACTGTGGCACATACTAAAAAAAAAAACAAAAAAATTTTTTGTTTCTACTCTTTTCTAGCAATTATAAAGAGCATGCGGAAAGCAATAAAAGGTTTGGTCTACTCGTTTCTCAAAGTGTTAACGTCACACATCATGGAGTCGTAACTCGTAGATGTTATATAAACCCATCAAACAACTCTGTAGTCGGAAAAATTCTTGATTCGTAGGGGGGAAAATTTTTTTCTCTTTTGTTTGAATCATACTAAAAATGTTCAAGATACAAAAAAAATTTTTTGCCAACTTTGCTATTTGTTAAATTATTATTTTTCCGATAGAGTACGACTTTATTGTCATGGTACACTAAAGCTTAGTTTAATAAACCTTTTTTTTTTTTCATTGTTGTCTGCGGATCATCAGCAGATTATCAAAATTGATGGCACGAATAATAATAACATTACACCAACATAATTTGATAATGATCAGGTATTTTCTACGGATTTATGTCTAAATTAGGCAATCATTAACACAAGTTACCCAATACCAAAATATTTCCCACTGTTAATATCGAAAAGGAAATTATTATTCAAAATAAAACTTTTTTCCTGATCAGCGTCTTGTTTATGCAACAGTGGGCATGAGATAATTATAAATATAACTATAAAAATATACATCAAAAATATACTGCCATGGATATAATTAGCTAATATAAAATAACATATATGATACAATATATGCCATTATTATTATATACAGAACAACCGTTATTATATATATTGTATATTGTATATTAATATATGCCGTATATCAATATATCACTCATAATATGTGTTTGAAAATGTCCAGTTTATTCCACGTTGAAATATTTATATAACCATGAATATACAACATAATGAAACCCATATCATACAAACAAAAGAAGACATCGACTATACACACGGAACAAGAATTAAGAAAATAGAAGAGAAGGGACGATACAGCTTATTATCATCGTCCAGATGAACGTGCATCGCATGCATCAACTATTTAAATTATTGTGTGGTGTATGAAAATGTTATACAAAACTGTGTGTTGTTATACTAATCAGTCATTGGACTGAGATCCCTTGCCAGCAGAATCAAATGGTGTAACGAGAAATAATAGGGGAGAAGAGGGAAAAAAAAAAAAAAAAAGTGCATCTCACAATAAAGGAAAACCCCATCACCATCACCATCAGATTTGAAAAGAGGAGAGAAAAACAAAGTGTATATGGTAAAGAAGCGAGTTTAAAAGAAAAAAGTGTAAAGGAAAGGGAGAGAGAAAAATATATAGGAGAAGAAGAAAAAGTATAAAAGAAAATATAAAGTAAAAAAACAACTATCTACACATATGTACACAAATAGAATACAAGCGATAGTTAATTCACGTGCGATTGACTAATTGTAAAAAAGTTGAAGAGACTTTTTGTATGATTCTTTAACAACAAAGACGACAAACGACACAAACGACACAAACGACACAAACGACGGCAAAGCCCTTCTTAACCAATTACCTATTCCAATTGCTATCATTAATACACTACCACTACTGCCGCAAAAAAACCAAGACACATAATAAATAAATACTAATAAATATGACTCTTATATCTTCTAACATAACAATGACCGTAGATCATAACACCATCACTTGCTCATAATAAAGATAAACCATATTATAGATAAGTATATCGCATATCCCAACAAAATAAAACAATAAATCCGACAATTTTTTCATTCATACAACATAAGAAAATTCCAATTCTTTAACGTCTCTCTTGTGCAAAAAAGTTGAAGAGTGTTCGGGAAAATCACGGTAGCAGCACAAAGAAGAGAACGAGGGAGGGGATAAATCAACAGAGAAGAAAAATTATAGTCCGTTTTCATAAAAAGTAAAAAAAAAATTAAAGACATCAAAACAAAATTCAATAGTTTACGAGATTAATTCTAAAAAGGAAAAAAAAAAAAACTACAAAAAAAAAATAATAATAAAACCAAATATTTATATCTACAAAAAACCAAGACTCCCCTTAAAAACCAAACACACATTTCATAAACCTCTCGCGCCACCTTTTCCCACTTTTTCCTTTTTCACATCCTTCTTACTATTCCCCCTTTTTTTTATTTTCTTTTCCACACTATTGTCTCTTTTTTGATAAAATTCCCAAAATCTTTTTCATTTTACCCCCTCCGATCCTCTTCATTCGTCCCGACTTTACCGTAGAACCAGATTGTCCCGTATACTCGTAAGACTCCATGCTTCTGCTATGTGACAAGACAGAGAATGTAGAATCATTATGATTTGGATATGCGTTATCCCCATTGTTATCATCGCCCGTTATTCCTTCAGAGCACGATGAGTTTGCTTCTTCTTCGTCTTCTATTTCGTCTTCTTCTATTTCTTCTTCTTCTATTTCGTCTTCTTCTTCTTCTTCTCCTTCTTGTTGTTGTTCGTCAGATACAAACATGTCATTCACGCTAGCATTGGAATCACGATTACCGTCATTGTAGCTGTAACTCCTATCGTCTGCATCTACGTAAACAGACCCTTCGTCTTCTTCATCTTCTTCGCGACCGTCGTCATAAACGTCGCCGTTTTCGTCGTTATCGATGTCATATTCGTCATCACTGTCACTGTCATCATCACCACCTTGCTCGGGAGTCTCTGGTGGAGAATAAATGCCATCCGCAAATTCTCCTAACGAGCATTTGCCAAACGCAACTCGAGGAAAATGCAATTTCTTTAGCTTTTCCAATTTCTTTTCAAATTGCTTTTCAATGTTTTTTATCTTTTTCTTGGCTGTTTCCGCCTCGTTTCCGTCCGTTGTTGCTGTTGTTGCGTTCATGGAGCTTCCGGTCAATTCCGATATTTCCTTGGCAGATGTAGTAGGGTACGTCGATATGGCCGGTATGAACGGAGACAGGGGTGATGTCAAGGGAGTAGCCAGAACAGATGTCGAAAAGGGAGGAGGTGGAGATACGTTGGTTGATTTGGGGGCAAAGCTCACGGACCATCGACGGGTCGGTTTTGGACGATGATTTTGCGATGAAAAGGATTGTTTAGGATGAGCTTGAGACTGCTGCTGTTGTTGTTGTTGTTGTTGTTGTTGCTGCTGCCGTTGTTGCTGCTGCCGTTGTTGTTGTTGCTGTTGCTGCTGTTGTTGTTGTTGCTGTTGCCGTTGTTGCCGTTGTTGCTGCTGTCGTCGTTGTTTCTGCTTTGATGACGCTTGCTGCAAAGTAGTCGTTGGAACTGACTTTGATTTAGCCTTTGCACGACCGTTTGAATCGTTAGGCTGTATCGCACGCTGTGTTTTCCTTGAAGTAGCCGTGTGCATGCGACTTTCCACTTGTGTTTCAGGCAGATCAGATTGTTTATATTGAATATCAACCTCTATTTCATAGTCCTTCTCGTTGGTCTTTTCGTCATCTACCACCGTCCGATCAGACGAGTATTTAATATGATTACTCAAACCAGTCAAGTCACTATACTCGTCTATATTGGAATTAAAAACGTTCATGTTAATGACTGGGGGAAGGGCAGAAGAAAAAAAAAAAGACACATTAGCATCATCGCCCTAGTGTGCGCGCGTGTGCGTGTGTAGGGTAGACAATAGTAGCTAAATCTCACCTTCATCGGTCATATGCTTGTCACGTATTTTTTTGAGTTTTTCACTTTCTTCTCGCAATAAAAGGTAATAGTCCCTCAAGTTCCTTTCACTGAGTTTGCTTTCACTTTCAGACTTGTTATTATTATCATTACCATTATTATTATTATTAGTTGCACCATCGTTGCGCACCTTTTTCTCCCATTCACTCTCGCTCCTCAATATGAAAGTACCATCTTTTGCAGCACTTTTCTTCATCACATGAGCTTCCAATAGATTAATTCTCCACATGGCCATCTGATATTCTTCTTGAGCTTTTCGCAAGGCTTCATCTTTACTTTGGATGACTTGCTTCAGGGCTTGGATGGTGATGCGGGCCTGAGTTATTTCGGCTTCGAGGGTACAGTTTTGGACTTTGAGGAAAGAATTTTCGATGCTGATGAATTGCGATGACGCATGGACGGGATGCATCGGACGATCTAGACGAGATTGAGGCCGTTCGAAGGCGATGAAGGTATTGTCGTCATCGTCATCGTCATCGTCGGAAGGATAGTCCTCTTCGGAATCAGACGAGGATGGTGAGAGGGTTGGCGAAAGTGAATTGAAGGAGGGGGAATGAGAAGTTGGTACGGGGGATGTGGGTTTAAGGGAGTTTGGAGAGTTGAGCGAGTTGAGCGAGTTGTGGGTTGTGACGGAGTTTGGAGACTGGCATGATGCATCCATGCTGTCGCTGTAATCGTCATTACAGATGTCTTTATATTTATTGTTTCCGTCGTCATGCTTGAAATATTTATTGTATCTTTGAGAGGGTTTGGTTGGTTCAAGTTCTACTCTAATGTGTAAATCGATGTCTGAGCAATCAAGGATATCGTCGCCCATCGTCTAATATAACTATATTTAATATTAACTATACTAATAAGCTATACATGTGTATAATAGTTTTTTGTATGTCTTTTTTTTTTGTAAAGGGGAGGGGAAAAGGGAAAAATAAGAGTATATAAAACTATCCTAATTATTATTTATATGAAAATGAAGTAAAAGGATAAGAGAAGATGCAAGCGTGGACGACTCGTGTCTCTATTTATGTAAATTTTTTTTCAGAGAGCGGCCGATATACAAACACAAACTGGAAGTAGTAGCTTCGTTCGCATATTAGAATGAATAGTCGATCGCACAAGCATTTATAGTGTAATTAATGTAAATATTTATACACAAAATATACATGATACAATAGAAACAATTGCATGATACAATATTGTCTATTGTAATAGTATATTTAAGATGTTCCTGTTTCGATTTAAGATTAAGAAAAGTTTATTGGTTTGTGGAATTCATCATGTGATATTGGTCTATATTTCCATAAACAGAAGCAGATACGAAATTTGATAAATTGGGAGTATTGTCAATCATATTAGGATAAATAAAATATTCAGTGTAATTGGGATGTGCGATGAAAAATTCCAAATACAAAAAGAAAGTTTTATATTATTATCAATACAATAAAATCTTATTAATATTATTCCCAAGATACGTCATCAACGTAATCAGAATTAAGAAGACAAAGGTTTGCATAATTATAACAGGCAAAATGGTCACAAACATTGAAAAAAAAAAGATGATAATAACATTGATGCCGATAATAATGATGATGATAAATAGCGATGACAATGGGTGATGGCAAATGACCGATGAGAATGATGATGAAGATGTTGATGATAAATGATGATGATAATGTGTTATGATGATGGTGATAATGATGGTGATAATGATGGTGATGATGAGACGATAATACCTTGACGATACTACCTTGACGATACTACCTTGACGATAATACGATGATAATACTTTGAATACTCTATTAGTCGCACTTATGTCACATGATCATAAACCCGGCTTCTCATTTTCTTTTTCACTCTCCTTATTCTCTCGCATTTCAAACTGCACCTATTTGATATTCATCGGGAACACCAATAGACGATCAAATGCAACCCGGTGTATAGAATTGTTAATTCGAGATTGCCTAATCCGATAACCTACCTCATTTCGTTTTTGGACAACAAAAACTTGGGTATCCCGCATAATAAACATATGGTCAAAAAAAGCCTAAGACAAATCGAAGAATAAGAATAAGAGAAAAAAAGCCGGGGGATAGGCCGAATGGGGGAGCAAATAGGGTTTATTGCCAAGAGGTATCAGCAGAATAAGCCGGTGAAACAAAGTTGAGAATTAAAAAGTGGGGAAATGGAAGAAAAAAAAAAAAAAAAAGGAAAAAGAGGAAGGTAAAAAAAAAAAGATTAATTAAAATAAATGTAACACATACACTTAATGTAAATTTGCTCAAATTGTAACAAGATTTTGCGCCTATGATGCAATTTGTGTTTAATTTTTCTCGACAAGAAAAGGTGTGAATAGAGAGAGCATATAGAACAGGGTTTAATATCTCCGTGTTATAAAAAATCAATGAGATCATTGCCGATATTTCGAGTTTATTGAGTAAATTAATAACAGCAGCTTATTTGACTATTGGGTAATTCCCCATAACTCTATATTTCTGCCGCAATTGTTCATTACCTACCCCTTTTCCGTCAATCGGATATTTGGTTTTATTAATTTCCACTTATTATCCTTTTCCCCATCAACGCCTCACCCCCCCCCCCTCACTCCCCCTCATTTCCTCATTTCCTCATTCTTACCCTTTACCCTTTACCCTTTACCCTTTACCCCTTAGATCACTTTAATCGTATTCATTTCCTTTTACAATCTAGACACTACTTTTTTCCATTGACTGCGATTTTCGTCTCTAAATGAAGAATATAATGTATAATTTAAAAAAAAAAAAAAAAGACTAATTTACTCGTTCATTTATCTTACATATTTCGCTCCAAATACGTAATCAATGGGCTTTCAATCTTGCATCGTCTAACCAATCCCTGCATCATGAGATGCCTACGTTATCAAAAGGGGGTGAGCTCTGTTAATCATCGATTGCCTTCTTAGATTAGGGTCGTTTGTTTTTAACCATTTCTGTGTCTACAGCGTACATATAAACATGCCGCATCTACTCGGCTTGCATGGAAAAACCTCTTTGTAACAAACGCAGCCATCTCACAAAGCTGATACTAATTATAACTACGAACATTCACATGTCTGATGTAATGGTATTTAAGTACAGACTGATTCATATATATGATTCATATTTTCTTTACTTGTTTCGGTATTACTAACGTTCTTTCCGATCTTATAAAGAAAAAAAAGGTATCAGAATGTCGTAGAAACAAGCAATGAATTACAAATAAGTATTGCACAAGAATAAATTAAACTAAGCATTTATGCTGTCGTAATACAATAACATCATACGATGGCGACAACATCATCCATTAATACTATACACTAAACATTACTACACTAAACACTGCTACAACGTTACTACATTTAGTATTACAATTAGTACAATGAGAACAACTCCGCAATTACATTACTATACTATTATTTACTACAATTACTATAATTATATACCACATAACACAATAAAAGTAACAGCCGCAAACGTAGTAAAAATTAGCCATTTATTTTTACGTTTTCCGATATCACGTTTCTTGTACTAGGCTACGGAACGATTACGCCTGAAACTCCCTATTACCATTCTTTTCCATGTACTGTCGATCCTAAATCATGTCCCTCGAACCCTTTTTGTGCTTCATTTCCGTTTCATTCAATTCCGGAAATATGGTTTATTTGAACTTGCGAAAATAATCAAAACTTTGTAATAAAAGGGAGAGGGAGGTTTTTTGGCGCCTATAAATCGACACACCGTCTGTAGGGTTAACCATTTTCAGCAAAGTCGTCGTCCCTTTCATTAATTTCTTGTGGTTGCACTGCCAATAAAACGGTTATTAAGTAGAACAATGTTGTTATTATTATTATTTCGGCCGATTTCGTAATCGTCGATTCTATATGTGTGTGTGTGTGGCGTTCTTCATTCAGGTGATACTCGTAATGACGGTCATGTCCTTTCAGTTCGGTATGACCCTTTCCATGTATTAAGAGCGGGTTTTCCATGCACAATCAACACAAAATGTTAGTTTTCAACCAAAGATATTCTGAGAAATGTTTGCCAATCCTATTTGATTCGATTTGATTTGATTTGCATGTTGTGGTAATTAAAATCGTAAATCCAAATTATTGTATATTAACATGACGGAGATGTTTCAAAATGAAAAAAAGTAAACATTCAAACGTTGCTCATTCGTTGCGTTGTCGAGTAAAAAAGATCGGACACAACTTTCTTTCAGTCAAGGGATTGATTTCTTTGTAGATTCAAGAAATCGTAATTTGTCAATCATTGTCAATGGTTAGCGATGGACTTGCACACACACGCATGCAAATAGTAAATAGTAAATAGGGGCAACACTGTAACCAGATAAACCATATGGGAAATGCAAAATTAAACATAATGGTGAAAAGGGGACAATTCTGTTGGATCAATAGTTGGCAGACAATCGTTGTTTCTACTTTGACAACTCGATTGTTTCGATATACCTTGTCCCATCATTTAATTAAATCATGAAAGATACGAGTGTGTTATTGCAGACTTGCGTAATCGAACAAGGACTTGATGTACACAAAGCAACTAGTATTTCTCCTATTAGGTATTATATAATAAAGCCTATTATTAATGAATTTGAGTAGATTAATTATTTTGTACAAAATCTTGGTCTCAAAAGCGATCGCTGTTGGTTTATGAAATTAACGTTATTATTTGAAATCATTTATCTGCAACAAAGTTCAAACGTCGATGAATGCCACCTTTCGAATTCATTCCCAAGTTAAAAGATTAAAGATACACCAATGCAAGGCACTCTCGTTCCATTAGTACAAATCAATGATAGCTTACCAAGTATCTCATTGACAAACTTTGTCCAACTTGTGAATCGAATGTAACTTTATCTCATTCTGCTTCCATTTTTCTGATTCTTTCGACGAGTAAACTTCCTTGTTACCTCATTATAGTTAAATAATAGTGTTTCAAAACACGCTACGAAAACTTTAATTTACCAAATTAAATAGCTTCCTAATGTATATGGTTCACAAGCTTTATGGTAATTGGTGAAACTATACACTAGCTGATAGTCGAGCCGGTTACTTAAAGTGAACCCCGTGGAAAAATTATTAGAATATTCCAAGCATGCAGTTTTGAGTTTAAAATGAAAAGCGTAAGGCGCATACATAACAATACGGTGAGTTTTTAAGAGCTTTTACGTTTAAGGAGGCATTTTGTGCAACTAAATAGATACTTACCTGACGGCGCGTCATGACATTATCGATATATCATACTTGCTTGCTCTCTCGGGTGTATGTGTTTTGCTAACACAAATCCGATAAGTTCTGACGTATTAAATACTACCGATTCGAGGCCGTCAAGGTGTCTGCCCTCGGATTGAAAAAAGTATAAACGTTTACTTTTTAAAATACCAGAAGCGTTAGGGACTACTCGGCCATCTGCCATGAAGAATCTACTTCTTCACGCAACGTATGTACAAACTTTAACGGTTTATTTTCCAATTGCGATTCCCAGAAAATGAGCAAGAATGTAAAAACACGAGTCTTTATACCAAAGCAGTCATTATCATTGTAATGAAGCAACCCTTGTGTATTGAAAATTCAACCCACACTTTTCTAAATATTTACATCTATATAGAATAATTATTACAAAAATCAAAGAAAATCCAAGTTTTCAAAAAATACTCTGAAATGCATTACGGACGACAAAACAGCGCTTATCGTCTAGTAAACTTTTTTTTGAATCGAAAGACATTATTTTCGTAAGGTAATACACTTGGTTCAACCCAGCCTTTTAACAGATTCCATATCTCCATAATGTACCCAGTATCAGAAGCTTCTTCGACGCAAGACAATATCAAAAGAATAGTGATCCGTTCCGGCTTCACATCTCTTTCCTTCATTGTTCTGACGAGCTTGACCAAACCAGCAAAATCCCCAGCCTTCCCCAACAACAAGGCATAGCTACGGAAATTCCTCTCTGTGAATGGATAATCGGTAGAATAGAGTTTATTGTATAACGATTTCCCTTTTCCATAATACCTGGCATACGCACACGCTTCAATCGCTATGCTAATCGACACGTTATCCGGCGACACGTTCCAAAGCCTCTTCATTTCCGTGTACAAAAACAACACGTTATCAATCATCCCCAGTCGATTGTAACCATCCATGAGACAATTGATAACTGCCGCGTCTGGTTTTATGCCCCGTCTTTGCATCTCGTCGAAAAATTCCAAGGCAGTGTTTATCTGCGATTTGTTGCAAAACGCATCCATGATCGTGCAATAGGTAAACTCGTTCGGGAAAATACCGACACGATGCATGCTCCTGAATACCTTTAACCCCGTTTCGAGATGTCCTGATTTTGCGTATGCGTCAATCAGTACCGTGTAAGTGACCACGTTCGGTTTAATGTCGTCGCTCAGCATCGCCTGGTATATTTTGAGTGTTTGATCTAGTAACGCTCTCTTTGCGTAATAGTCTATTAACGCCGTATAGAAAACCAAGTCGGGTTTCTGTTTCGCTTCCCGGATATATCTAATAATGCGATTGACTATGGCTGACGTCTCTTTCGCTAACGGAAGTGAGGATATTATGGATGTGTACTGTTTGAGGGACAGCTTGGCTGCCGAATCGGACGATAGCGTCATCAAATATTGGATAATTTGTAGAAATTTTTTATGCTCGCGAAAAGATAAAATTACGGTATTATAAGTGTTTTCATCAAATTGTATTTGGTTTCTGTGCATGAGGTTTAAACATAATATACACGCTGCCAAATCATTTGTATCGCAATGCGCTCGGATAATAGAATTGTAAGTAGACGTGTTTGCATCAATGTTATCATATTTCATGCGGTCTAATAATTGTTCTACTGTACTGTTCATTTTGCGTTTCGCACATAGGTATAACACTAGATTATACGTTATCGTCGTTGGTTTAACTTTTCTTCTTTTCATTAAATTTAGCAAATGCATAGTATTCTCGAAATCGTTCGACTTTACGTATTGTAGTAGCATCTTGTTGTATAATCTGCTACCTTCCTGTAAATTAATCTTTTCGCAAATCCAGTCGATAAAGCCACTTGCTCCTTTTATATTACCATCCTTGATGTAGGCGTGGACAAAGCGCGACAGGTCATCCATTGAGGGCGTCTGCTTATTCTCAATCATATTTTGTAGCACTGCAGTCGCTTTTTCAATGTTGTCTCTGGATAGGTAATTATTAAGAGATAACTGGAAACGGAAATATTCCGTCTTGCATCCATGTTCGTCCAGATTCCGAATTATTGACAAAGTTTGATCAAATCGAAAACGATATATTACAAGCTTGAGTAGTCGTTTATGCCATGGAATGTTTATCTTTGTTGATAATCCCTCGCTTGTTAAAAGTCTATATATGTACCAAGCTCTATTGTATTGTTTCTTCCGTATTGCTTCCTGAAAGTGAACAATGACGTCCTCTACTGTATATGTTTCGTCTGCAATTTTGACCGTCAGTACGGCATTCTCTGTTGAAGACTCTTCATCCATACTATATAAACGCCCGACACTCGGCCATGATAAATATCCGTTGTGGTATTGAATCCCGCGCAAGTAAAAACCACCGACATTGTGTCTTTGTGAGACTATGAAATATTTTCGACATTGAGCTCGAAGTTCAAAGATCATATTCGTCGCATAATTTGGTTGGAAAAATTTCTTATCATCAGGTGACTCGATGGATTGTAAGTGGTCAAGTCAATCTCTTGCACCCTATTTCCCGTCTTACGCGCCCAATGTTTACGGAAATGGTTTCCCATCGCTGGCGAAGGCCACAGCTACAATAATGTGCTCTCTCTCCTCGAAGATTTTTCATAATGAAGACGTTTCAAACATAATATTTCGTTTACAGTGTCTGATGAACTTTGGGTATCTTTCTCTGAGAATATCACCGTTATCAATAGTTTTGATAAATAGAACTCTGCCAACCGATGGAACGGCGAGAATGTTATAGAGAAGGTTTACATCAATCGGAATTGTCCTGACACTCTGATTTACATTTACCTGTAACTATTTTTTGGGCTTGATGCTATTTTGGTATTCGGAACTGGGAGCATTAAAATCAGAAACGATGAGATGTATGTCTTTCTGCCTGTTATGTCGAAATGGATACTTAACGGTAAGCGCAATTTATTTATAGCCTCAATAATTAATTACTGGCTCATATAATCTATACAATAAAAGATGACGGGTCGCGTGAAGTATGAAACTTGTAGCACAGAGTGCTTTAGCCTGTAAGAAGCTCGAAAGAAATTGGCGTGAATCCATCATGGCCGGGACTTTCTGGGGATTCTAGGCTTAGTATGTTGTTGAACTTTGTCGTCGCCAGCTTTTTGAAGTCAAAACTTTT